CTTGGCATAGAAGGATCAGTCTGAAGTGAGCCAAAACCGGCACAGTTAGTTGTGTCTGATTCATTTAAGGATGCCGTGCAGATGAACTCTATTTCAATCTCACACCAGAAACGGATACTGCTCAATGTTCTGTGCATCAAGCTATCAGGCTGTATGGAAATTAAATAACACTGCTAACTATGTAATTTATTTCATTGTCTGTGCAAAGATAAACCACAGTTCTGCAGATGTCCTGGCTCTAGAAGGGACAGCCATCTAGCGCAGGCGTCATTTCTACGCTTCCGTTGACCATGTAGTTATTCTGCCTCAGCCTGTGGAAGTTAGAGGGATGGTCGAACAGTAATGAGAATGGTGGGTAGTAGTATGTTAGGGCTTTGTTATTCTTAGTTATTTCTAAAAGCTTCTGAGATAGATCGGCACATGATTCTGCATATGAGCATGCAAACCTGTCTGCATTAAACACACAGATATTTGCAATGAAATTGCCAGCCAGGGTAGCGATGAGGAAAAATAATGAGATCTTGGCGCTCACTGTCACAAAATGCTTTAGTGCAGACTTGTTCTTCTCCTTTCCAATCCTCTTCACCAGAAAGCACATTGCTAGGGATGCAATAATGTAGGGTACAACGTAGATATATAAGAGATCAAAGTGTCTTGCACGTCCTATCTCATGCAACAGCATAGCTTTGATTGCCTCAAAGCTGTTGTTCTGGATAGTATCCTTGCTAATTATAATGCTCATCATGGACTTGAATGGAACAGCATTGCTAGACGCCTTGTTAGAAATACTATCTACAACAAACACCCTTGAAATGTCAACATCGAACTCGGCAAAAAACTTTTCGTATTGAGAAATATCCATTCTATTCCTTTGGAAGTATTCAGTAATGGGAGTACCTCCCAGAAGATAAGGTATAAGATATGCTAGCAAAAGAGCTACTGCAGCGACGAAACAGTTGCCAAAAATTATAAGACGAGTTGTTGATACCTTTGAGGTGATGAAGGAAACAAGCTTGACAATGCCATATAAAACTAGGCTGCCAATAATACCGCCACATACAGTGAAAAATAATTCAGGTGCTACAGCACATACTACTAACAATAATAGGCCCAATGCTTTCCAGAAAATTATTTTTCTTTTCGAATATGGAACCTCATAGTGGTTGAATATGTACTCAGATGCCACATCCAGGACTCCAAGAGAAAATAGCACTATCGGTTGTACTAAAGTAGTGCCATACCCAATAGCAATGTACAAGATCATTAGTGGCCAATAGTCCACATCTACAAAGCAGAAGGTGGTGGGCGTAGCTGTGTTTACTACCATCTTGATATTTTCGGGATAGAACCACCACAGCCCAATGCATTGGTATGCAAGTGCAGTAGCCAAAATAACCATCTGCAGAGCTAGATACTTTGCAAACTCACTGGCCAGTACTTTCTTGACCACAGCATAAGAACCACTAAGAAGATGCTTGGGCCTCCCAACAATGCTTGCTTGTTCAGCAGTTGCATTGTGTGTATCACCGACATCAGCTAAGCTGTCTGTAGTGGTTGAAGTAGGCATTTTTATGAGGTGGAAAATACGACCAGAACTTATCTAAAAATTTGATAAAAATTTTAGAAAATCAGAGATGATTGGAAATAATCTCCATTGGCATACTTGTACACATTGATATAGTTATGCATACTACAATCCACTCTAGAGCTCCATCATGCAGAGGAAACAGTATCACCAGCAACTCTTGTATTCCCCTTGTCTCATGTTAATGCTTTCATCAGCTTGCTGTCTTACATATCAAGATATTTGATTAAACAACGATGCATGTCTCCTTGCTTTCCTATCCATATACTCTGCCATCCTACCCCTTCTAACTTACACCTGACTACTATAATATTCACCTCTATCTTCATCATATCTAACTACTTACTTATTGTATATCCATTCTCATCTTAGTAGAGCTGCTACCAACTGCTTACTCCTATCCATCCTAATATTAACCTATCTATTTTACATCGCTAAAAATCCATATCAACCATTATATTGCCAGACCTTGGATCTAGTCTTCTGAACAAGTTTTTCTATTTGCTACTTGGCTTGAGACAATCAATCACATATGTCTTGTACATACATATAGGCTTATTAAGCAAAGACTGCAGGAGAGGTATGCATACTCCGTGAATGTGGCTGGTTTGTACATGGTTTTACTGGCTATATGTTATCTGAGACTATCGTTTGAGTATTCCCTGTCATACTAAAATCAACTGATAAATTAAATCAATCAGATTTTTGTAAAAAGTATAAATACAAGTTTTGTATTCACATCCATGCACGGTTTAACACTACCAATTAAAACTGTAACTGGCCTGATCAGAGTACTGTCGGTTGGATTTCCTATGCTATTCTCCGCAGATGCCAGTTGCACCGTAATGAGTAAAGATCCAGAGCCTTCATCTGATGATTCGTTAGAAGAACAGTTCAAAGGTATTTCCGTCTCTGATATTGAATCAGTCAATATCTCATCCCACTCAGCTTCCAACTCCAGAGTTTTCAAGGATACAGATGGCTATTTTACCGCTTTTATGGAGGATTCTAGAATCATTAAAATGATTGATGAGTATCTTACAAATTCGGATCTTACACTGCATGAAGATTATTCAAGTACTAAAGCTGCGATTTATGAAGTGGTGGCAATGAAACTATATTATTCTTGCATTCAAACAGAAGATGAGTTTTTAGATGATGATGGATATTTAAATGAAGACGAAGTTTTAAACAAAGATGGTAGCTTCAAAGAAGAAGTAATTCAAAAAGTTGAAGAATACCTACGCGAATTCAATCTCAGGACAATCGCAGTATCAGATTTTGAATTCAACTATACTCCGATAAAGGCGTGGGAGCTCCTTGTTGATAACTGTGAAACTACGCATTTGTGGATATCAAAAGCGGCAATTGACGTTGCTGCACTGAACAGTTCAGGTCTCAGTAAGTTAACAATGCTGACTTTGAAAAATGTTGGACTGACAGAGATGCCATGCCTATATAACCTCACAGATCTTGAATACCTATTCTTGAATGATAACATAATTGGGTACGTCAATCTTCAAAGCTACTTTGATGCTAAGACAGGCGGCAGTACTATGCCAAAATTGGTGCATCTATACTTGTACGGAAATCCTGTATCAAAGATTGATGCAAGAATTAAAGAGGTTTTCACAGATAAATCCATGGAAATAGGTCTGAATGGGGTAGGGTCGTTTTCTATACATGGTAATATGAAGGATAAACTGGATAAAGTACGTATTCAGCTTGTTGAACCAGATGAGAAGAAAGAGAATGAGTCGGATGTCAATAACTGATTAAATTGATCTTCGATACTGATTTAAAGTATTTTTATTCACATACCTCATTTAGGCTTTATTTTCTACAATTAATATCTTCTCTAGTTAATTTTCATACGAACTATGTCTAGTCCGAACTGCTTTGCCATTATGACTGTGCTGTTTAAACATACTATCCTCTACTGCACACGTGTTTATGTGTTTATAAAGTGTGTAAAGAGCCTTGAGCTATACTCATATCTTGCTAATCAACCTATTTACAATGACAATACTTATCCTGGTCTTTGAACTAATATACTTTGTGTCTTTCTACTTTTCCTATTGTAGCTGCCAAAGAATATCTTCACGCCAGCATCACTAATTTGCTCAGCCCTATATGCTTAATACATCGATTTGAGAATTCCGTGTGATAGTTTGAAAGAGAGCATGAATACTCTTTGCTTCTAAATCCACCATTGTTTTGTAAACTACCTCATTATTATGCTATAAAGAAGATCACCAATGCATCAAAGGGGCCGTTGAGTGGTTGCTCAGTTACAAAACTTTGGCAGTATGCCAAAGAACTTAAGATGAATATCGATGGTAGAAGCTCGCCATGAGGCTGAGACATTCAGCGTAATCAACCCCAAGAAGAATATTTTAAAATTACGAAATACTGCCCAAATATAAAATAATGCTGCAAACTTGGTATCATGAGTTTATTTCGTAGTTTTAAATCAGCTATTTATTCCTTGGTACAACTTAATAGTTATCAGTCACAACACATCCATTGATTAGCAATTTTAGCTGCGGCCAGTCACACTTTTCAAACCATATCCTTGGAATGGACCCAACAACTTCATCTTTAACCCAAATGGAGCAATATCGTAATGTCTTCGGAAATCTAAATGATTCATTTAGGCCCACATCATCAGTGCATGATGCATACTTGCCAACATTAATTGAATCAAGCCCTGTTAGGTCGAGGTATAGTAGTTCTAAATCGTTGATCTCACTAATTTCATACGGCAATTTCACCAATCCTGTATGTCCATTGATTACTAACTGTTTCAAAGATTTCACTGCTGCTAAACTTCCCCAAACAGAGCTTGCATTGGAAAAGTTACAATCAGACACTATCAAATGATCAATGCTTTGAACTCCTTGCAAATTAATTGATCCGAATGTGCATTCATCTAATAATATAGTCTCTATCCTAGTAGAGTGATTTGAAGCTGGATTTTCGGATAGAGAACTAATCGAAGGCAAATTCACTGGATCAAGCACCTGTAGAATGTTTAGTGTCGTAAATAAGGACTGCTTTATACTTATATTTTGCACCTTGGATATGTGCTTGAGGGATATTGAACCGAATGAAGAATTGACCAGACTTAGATCTCTCAAATCATGAGTGTCTTGCAAAGTCAATAGGTTCGAGACACAGCTGCTTAAAGAGACTTCAAGCAACATAGGCATTTCTTGCAAATTCACTGAATTCAATGAGCAATCCTTTAAAAGAAATTGACGAAGCTCTGGCATCCTTTTGAAACTCAATGACTCTAACACAAAACTGTCCATGCCAAAATACTGTAGCTTCTCCATTTTACATAAGTCAATTAACTTTGGCTGATTGTAATTATCTGCTTTGATGAATCCTCTAGTAGATGTCGGCACTGATGTGTTAAATATTCTACCAAGAACAATAGTCATCTGTCTCAACCATTTCATCTGGTTTAATCTTTTGAAACCTTCAGTGTCAAATAGTAACCATCTAGATCGTATTTCGAGTATCTTAATATTTCTGTGTTCAAGGATCCAATCTAAGTTATGACCCCTAAGATCAAACACATTCTCGCTAGAAATATTAATACAAACAAGTTTCTGGGGATTAGGAAACTCTAACTCAATGCATCCTGTTAAACTATCAAGTTTAAGACATCTTATATTTTGCATAAAGCCAGCCCTTCTTTTCAACATGCCTAGTATGCAATCTGTCAATTTTATGAAGATAATTTCTGAATTGGCAATTATATACTCCTTTTTTGATGCACTACATTTAATAGAAAGCTGTTGGAGAATGACAATAAATTTAAAAAACCGGAGCATCATAATGCCTCTTCCATCCGTTTCATGGCTCGTTAAAAATTCCGCATAGTTTATCTGCTGAGAAAAAGAATCCCCTATGGCATCAAAATTGTCAAACTCAATGATCGTTCTTTGGAAATATTGTATGGCTTTTTGTGCTATTTTTTCATGGAGAGCAAACAATTTATCAGTTTTATATAAAGATTCATGAGCTATTCTTGAAAGCCTAAATGAGTTAGCAACCTCTTTCCTGTTACTGTCAAATTTAGCCAACTGATTTCTCAAAATACTAAAAGTGGTACTATTATAAATACCTAACTTTTCAAAAAACCTCTTCAACCAAAAAATTGAGCTGGGAAAATACGACTGCTGCATGCAGAAATCAAAGAATTGCTGATCATCAAGCCTCAAAAGAATATCCTTTAACTTCATAATATCTGCTGCAAACTGGCTTACATCTCGAATCTGGCGAATTTGTTTGAATACATCGCTGTATCTGATTCCATTAAAAAGTGGGATGCTTGTAATCTCCGATACAATGCTGTCAGGCAGCTTGGGAAATCCAGTATTCTGTCTTGCTGGCTCTTCAGTATCAGAATTTCCAATAGCTACATGTGAGATGCCTTCATCACCGGCTAGATTGGGGATCTGAATACTCTGCTCTGAACCTGGACATGCATCGTTCAAGCTATGAAGCGTAGCCTCCACGAATACAATTAAACTGCAGATTAGTTTGTAGATCCCTCTCGTTCGTGCAATATTCATTAAGGAGTATGAACTGAAAATTTTTAAATTAATTAAATCAATTCGAATTTTGACAGGAAAATCAGAATAGGACAATATAATATGTTGCTGTCCACATCCAATCCACAACCAGGCTGATAAGTCTCTGTGAATAGATATATCACTCAGAAACTGCAGTTGTAGTGTCTTGTTAGGATATTGACAGACGTCAAGTACGTATTATCAAATTATCTTAGATGCATGCCACACCAGACTAGTAAAGAAAATTGGTATATCTTCCGAAAATAAATATTAATATTGCAATCTTCTAATAATAAGACTGTACGATACTTTAAGGGTTTATTATTTGAACTTCTGTTCGTCTAGTCTCTCAAGGTATACATTTAATATACAAATAGAATATCTCTCTGATAAAGCCTCATCTGAACAGCTTCAACATAAGAAACATTTTATGCAGGTTTTCCATGTGGCCAGCCCATAAAAGACAATTTAAATCTAGCTACACCATGGCTAAATTCTTTTTCAGACTTCGCAGTTCGATTGGAAGCCTCACTTAATGCTCCAATTAAACTGCCTATTATCCAATCCTAAAATCTAAATGATTATTTTCTGGCTTTTGTTTATTTTTATTCTGGCAGTCCATGCAACTTTTCATCAAAATTATAAACCAAATACAACATCCATTACGAAATTTTCTAGTTGAATATGCATGCTTTGTGGCGAGGCACTATGGAGTGATTTCCCAGCAGTTGATCTTGGGCCTTTTCCTATCTTCCACTGTTTTCTTTATTTTTCTGTTTGGTGTAAACTCAAAATACCTCAGCTGTATGTTTACAGGTTCGCTAATTACACCTTTACTTGCACACGATCTAACAATCTTTCTGCAAAAATTTGAGTATAGGGAATATGGCCTCTCTTATCTACTTGAATCACTTGAGTACATTTCCAGTAATTCTCGTGAAGTGTCCGTCTTTCTCTGCTTGCTCTCGATCGCAGGCTCGCTTTATTTCTCAAAAGTGCCTTGGCCTGTCAGATCATTTCTGTTTGCTGTCTATTACTTCAAAACTATTTACCCGCTTGCCAACATGGCAGACTTTTTCTTGGAATCGGTTATCTGCTCAAGCTTTTTCTTGCTTCTCGCCTATCTTCTTTATTATCAGACCTTTGTGGGCGAAATTTTAACTTCTGTGTTCTATTCCCTGATAGCTTCCACAATAACTGTGGTCACCATGTACAAAATGAACTCATTTGAAATAGAAAATGTGGTTGGAAGACTGCTTTCGCTGGACCTGGCATTTGGAAACGTACAGTACAACGCCTATGTGATTCTAGTAGTTCTTTCAATTGCATCTCAGCACGCCATTAGAATGCTAAGCCCAAGGATTAAGAAAATGCCAAGAATATAAAATAAATAAAATTGTAGATGAAATATTCAAAGTTGTGTCAATAGCTTAAGCCTGCCTTGCCAAGATTGTACGATATTTTGTTACTCTCCAGGTTGATGGCTCTTGATCTAGCATATTGGTCTGGCCTCAAACATTTTCTATGGTGCTTTTTGTTGCTAGGTTCTACTTGTGACAACTTTCACCAATAAACTTAGCCTTCTGCCGAGCGTTAAAGCTAAGATTTCAGCACAATATAGCTTGGTTAGCTTCAACTTCACTGGAGCATCGCATAATACAACGAAATTATTCGTGTACTATTGCAGGATTTCTATAGAAAGACCAGAGATTAATCTGTATACTAACTTTGACTCGGGGCCGAAACACAAAATGTTTCATCTTAAAAATAAATACACAGAAATTAATATCTGTAATGTTTATCTTCTTATTTCTTGCAAAAATGGCACATGCCTACGATGCAATTACAACATTTCTAGACAATCCCATACGAATTTTCTCTTCTAACTCCAATCATGTATTTCTGGCCAAGGATCTGTCAAACAACTCTCTTGTCCACACTTCAAAATTTGCAATTGTCAAAAAAATTTACTCATCTTTTACAATTTCAAAAAATAAAAACGAGTATCAAATTAAATCAGGGACGGAATATGTTTGTCAAAAGGACAACGAAGTTGGAATATGTGACAAGGAAGATTACTGGAATATTAAACCGCAAGTTGTGGGATATAGAATTTCAAAGAAGGGAGATAAGTGTCTAACGCTCGAAACAGGATCTAGAGTCACTTTTGTGCCTTGCTCGGTTGAGAAAGATCAGACATTTGACTTTAAGCTCGCGGAAGAAGATGAAAAGTGCGATGAAGCTGAGAGTAGTGGTAATATTAAATCAAAGGCAAATCCTGCGCCACAGAAAGTTTTAGTTGATTTAGATTTTGAAAGATTGTTGAATAACAACACTATAAGGGACATAATTGAAACAAGTGTGAGAAATGCTAACCGTAACAGCCTGAACGTAGTAGAAGTAAATAATAAAGAGAATATTCCGTGTTCTGACGATCACCACAACGAGCATAATGAATATGTGGATCATCATCAGTACAGAGGACATATCTGGGACGAATCAACCACCAGGAGTGACTTTGAGGCAGCGCCACATAGCACAGGGTTCATATTTGTGTAATAAAACTCCATCTTTTGTTAGCTATTGTGTATTTTCGATATATTATATACACATAAAGTTGAATTTGCTTCATTAGTAATATTACTGCGACGTAAAGTATCAAGGCAAGTGAACTTACCAGTGAACAATTAAAAATGTTTCAACCAAATTTAATTTTGGACATCAGCTACACTCAGCTCAGATGGACGGGACGTCATCGTATTTAATAAAAGTGGCGATGAACCAAACTTCTCCGTGATAAATTTACGAAGTGCATCATGAATTGCTGATTCTTTAGTTACTTTCCTGGCATCCCAGCCTAATTCCTTTGCAGCCATGACATTTTCTAGCAAGTCATCAAAATAATATATTTTAAACTGCTTGCTTATAACCTTTCCCGGGTCTATTCCTAAATCGTTCATCAGAAATTTAAATGCTGATTCCTTTGGCTTGAGAATCCAGTCTTCTTCAATATTCTCGTCGTTTGAACAGTATATCTTTTCAAAACATTCATTAATACCCAAAGCCTCAAGGATACTTTTAATCTTCTCACCAAAGCCGTTAGTTAGGCAATATTTTTTTAATGGAATGCTTTCTAATAGTCCTTTCAGCTCATCGTCTGGTTTCAGGAACTTGCATGTGTCCATAAAATCATTCTGCTTTATTTGCTCAATAGTCATTCCATAGTCCTTCATAAGTCCTATTTTCATCGAGCCATGTTTTTTCTTAAGTTGTTTAAATGTCATTTCCGAGTCTCCAAATAGTTCTCGTTCTCTTGTATTAATGAAGGCACTCTCTGCAGCTCTAAGTTCAGCATTTTCGTACAGACAATAATCAACATCAAAAATCATAATGGATTCTTCATGATCAATCCATTGGCTGTTGTGTTTCACCTTCGAAAAGTGCCATTTTAATAATCTCAGGAAAAATTTTCATGGGGCGAAAACTAAGTTTGCTTAAAACTTATTTTGATCAAAACCACACTAAAGTTTCTGACCAAACTTGGCAGGCACAGAAACTTGATTATTCACTGTTGAAATGCCAGATGGACAATAAATTTCTTTAAGATTCTACAAACAAATGCACACTAGCATATTTCATCAGAGCTTTGAACTTTCAGTAGTCAAAGTAGAGAAGTCAACTGTAGTTTTTCAAAATACTTATGAGCACACTGGCAGAATTATCTTCACGATCGCCTTAGCATACTGCTGTTTTTGTGATTAGATCAGCTGTTGGTCTGGATACTTCTATAAAACGCAGCAAAATGAGAAATCTTCAGCGGCTAACTTTAATAACTTTAAACAAACATGCTTGTTGCATGCATGTATTCTCTTGCTAGCTTGAAACACTGTTTCTTTTGTCTGTCGTATATTTAAACCCAAACACTACCCTATCTATCCAATGGTTCTCAGTCAGGAAGAAATGACAGACTCGGAAATAATACAGCTGCTGAGTGAGTACAACTTCACGAACCAGGAAATGTCGCAGATTCTCCGAGAAATTAAGAAGAGAGATTTTGAGTCTGTGCTAGCGTACATTGAGGAAGTTCGGAAGAATCAAGGTACATGGCAAGACAATGACAAGGAAAAGATGATGGATGAACTTAGGAAAAGAAACGATATGCAGAAGATGGAAGAGGAGCGAAAGGAAAAATATAAGCAACTGCTGAGAGAAAAAATAGCGGCCAATAGAAGGGAACAACAAATAAGAGAAGAGCAAGAGAACCAGACAACAAAGACAGAAGAAAAGTCAATCCAGATTGATGCGGAAGTTAAGATTAGGATTCTTTTGGGAGATAACCAGGAAATCTACTTGGGATTTGATAACAATGCCACCCTAAAAGATCTTTACGAGAGAGTAGCCTCGGAATTGGGAAGAACGTCTTTTGAGCTAAGTGTCTTTGGTGTTGGATCTTCTGTTCCTGTTTCTGACAAACTAATAGTTGATCAATTTAGCGCCAAAGCAGTGATGCTTGAAATGAACTCGGTAAGTAACTGAACGCTAATAAATAGTTGGAAATGAGTTCTTACATTAAGAGTTATATTAAAATAGCGATTTAATACTTCATCGTTTATAGTAGAGCCTGGAATTAGAATTTCAGTGCACTGGCTTAATATAAACTACGCTATTTAGCATTATTCTTTGACAGCAAGCAATCAGTGCACTGCTTTTTCTTGCAATTCCTAAAATAAAACTTTGGTTGCCCCAGCGATTAATGTTCCTTTGCACTGACAATCTTAAAAATGAAGACAGAGTGGCTCTGCTTGGAGAATTTGTCAAAGTAGACAAAGACTATGTAATTATCCGCTCCAACAACGTGCTCTTTAAAGTACTCCCAAAGGGATTTGATGGTTTTAAGACTAAGATTCTTCTCGTAATTGGAAGCTTGAAGGATGGAGTTGTTCATGAGGAACATACTCAACAAATTGAAGACGGGTTTGATCTAAATGCATTCCAAAGGCTGGCTAGAGCTTCTGTAAAGTACCCCGAGATATTCTAATAAACTTGCATACCTTGCACCGCTTTTGATGTAATGCATTCTCAGATGCTGTCTTTTCTCCTATATAGCTTTGCATTCAAACTGAAATACTGCAATAAAGGAGACCCTAATGAAAAAAACCAGTACTTTATGGTTTAAGCTTGTCGTTTGTATGCTGTTCGCATATGTAATCATAGCTATAAATTAAAAACACATCTCAAAGAATAAATGTTTGGCAGGAAATGCACTTTACTTATGCTTGCTATTTAAAAGAATATTAAATGCACTACTACCAACATTTTTTTACTTCTCGTCATTTATTTCATTTTCTTGATGCTCCTTAACAGAGAATGAAAAGGGACTGCGTGACGGCTTAACCGACTTTTTGATCTTTGAGCCAGGCTTGGACACAACAAGGCCAACATCATCTTCCTCTTCCTGTGTTATTTGGCTGAGTGTATTTTCTATGCTCTTAGGGTCATTTTCTTCGTCTGAGGATTCTATCCAGTCGCTAAACTTCGGCTTAGGCTTCTTTTCCACAACAACCATATCTCTCTTCAAGCTAGTTTGCCTAGATCTGTTCATAAAAGAATCCTCGGGTTCATTTGCTCTGCTCTGCCTCTCTTTCTCGTCTAAATATGCTGTGAAGTCCTTTGTGTCCTTGTATCTAATTGAAAAATCGCTATTTTGGGTTATTTTATGTGAGTACTTATTTCCTCCCACATGCATCCTCCTTAGTTCTTCTGTAGTCCAGCTATCCATCTGTGCCGACTTCACTCTTGAACGATGCGCACCCAGGCGCCTATGTAAAGCTGAACACTCGTAGCAAATAAAAAACGAGTGTGTAAGATCAGCCCAGGACGGGTTAGATTTACCGCAGTCTGCACACTTCTTGTTATACGATAAGTTCATGAGATAGTCCAGAAATTCATTTACTTTGTCAGTATTGTATTTATTATTAAGCATTGGCTGGGGTCTGTAAATACAGACAATAAATGTGGAAATTAAATATATTCAAGGATTGCATTTAAAATACCCAAATTCTCTATACTTGAGACAGTATGCAATCCAAAAGACAAATTCCATCTACATTATTTTATTATCTTATATCGGCCACACATGGTCCAATTAAGCCTTATTGTATTCCACAACCCCGTGGCATTTCAATAGCGTTGTACTCTCTGAATAGCCTAGTTGTTGCTTCACCATGCTATAGTTCCCTATGAAAAACACAGGACCTTACGGACTAAAACCTTGATTCTCTTGATTGGCCCCGTGTTTCGTTCATTTAGCAATATCCCCGAGTTATTTAGTATTTTCAAAATCGATTCGAGAACCGATCCGTCGCCCTGTTCGCTGACCTGATAGTCTAGTGCCATCAAGCACACTCTTTCTGCCTCATTCAGGCTTCTTTTATCGGTTTCAGAGACCAGTTCCCAACTTTCATTTGTAAAGGCTACATCTCTATAGTATTTTGATGCAATCACACAGCAGGATAGGAATATTAAATACTGGTTTCTTAAAATTTCAAAATTATTACTATCCAAAAAAGGTCTACGCTTTAAAATACGGAAATTCACCCCACAGCTATCTGCGCCCCACATCTCTACGCGATTGATCCTGTTTAATATCATTTTGTAGAGCTTAACTGCAGTTACAAAGGTCTGAAGAGGTACATCCGCCTTAACCAGCGTATTTACGAGTCTTAATGCAGGCACTCTGTCACCTACAAGCTCATGGATGTACTCAAAAAGGTTTGAATAAAGGTCTTTGGCATTGGCATGCATGTTCTCTGTAACCAAACTGCCTTTTATATTGCTGAAACATCCTTTACCGGCAGACTTCGTTTCAAGATTAAAGTACCAATGAAAAGGTATAACAGTCCATCACAGCTCCAATCAGAAAAGGCAGCAAGAAACATTGATACAAAGAGCAGCAATAGTAAATTATAAAACATAAATTTATTTGATAAAACCATCCAAAGACAATATTAAAAACAGTAATTTGAATCAAAAGATTAGCATAACTTAGCGGTTGCTTATGCATTAGCCAATCCTCATGATTTATTTCTTTTTATGGAACTTTTTGTGTATCTTTTTGAATACACTCTTATAATTCTCTTTGTCTTCTACCTTCTTCTGATTCTTCTTAGTATGCTTCTTTTTCCTCTGCTCTCTCTTTGATTGCACAAGCTCTCTCGTCTTCTGCTCTCTTTCTAAAATAGAAAGACATTTCGATATTTCCTTTTCTGAACGAGCAAGCTCCATATCTACCGCAGTGAATGGTGGGACATTCATTTGCAATAGCTTTTCCATAGCTCTTTCCCTGAATGCTGTCTCTATCATCTCATTTTCAACTTCTGCATCAAAGCGTAGCTTTTCCATTGAAGTAACGTACTAGGGGAAGATGAAAATCAAATACATTATGGCCAAGTATAAACAGTTTTAACCCCACCATACCAACCAATTTCAGACATATTCACGATATGTACAAAGCATTTTTCATGCTTTATCTTTGAATACAGTATAATCAAAAAACTACAAAAACCCAATGCAGGGATAATCATCTTTTTAATCAAGCTAAGTGCTATCAATATATACTAAACCTTACTCCAACTCGAAGGAGTTGGATCGATTGACATATACTCTCCCATCTCTTTCAATGTCGTCTATAAATTTGTCACTCAAGACTCCTTCTACAGTCATGGCATATACTCCGGGTCGATACTGGTTTACTCTCTGCCATTTGGCAACCCAGGAACTCCTAGGATCCTTCAAAAATATCATTCCTTTGAAAGAAGGGGATGTCGTGTATCCAATGTTTCTGTTCTTGTTCACATTCAAAAATGGACAGTTTGGGCATCCTTGCTCTCTGAATTCCTGCACAGTCTGTATTAATGAGCAGTTGAGGCATGCTCTCGTCTTCTTTCCTGTTAGCGAACTGTCTGTTGCTATCTGATGTGTCATTTTGGAAGAGGGCAGAGAAAGATTGAGCTACAAAAACACCACCATGCTTGGATTGATGTAGGCACTGCTGTAGAATGCAAAAAAAAATCCTAGCAAAGAATAAAATCCTACGCTACAGCATTGCCTCAAAGTTCTGTAGCTGGCCACATGGCTTGTGCACAGCTCTATAGGATGCTTCTGTAAATAGCTGTATTTAATCTATGATTTTGAGTCAAGCTTCAGTTTTAATAGCATTCATCAAAAGCCTATCTTAGAGACAAAATAGATTAATTAGCCAAATCAAATAAAAATATGGCAGCACACATGGCATAAGCATGCATCAACTCCAATACTTCATACAAAAAATATTAAATAATTTATATTCAAGTCTGCTGTTCTACACCTTTTTCATTTTTTCCAAATCTTTTATCATACTCAATACAGGCAAGTCGTGCAAGCATATTCAGAGACTTCATTGAATACTGTTTCATAGTGTTCTCAATGCTCCAAATGTCTCTCTGCTGCTTTGACTGCTCCTTTGTTCTTGGAGATGATTTTTCACTTTTTGTCTTTGATTCTGGAACCATATTTGTACTGTTCTTGGACTCATACTCAGTATCCTCCCTAGCACTAGTCTTTGCTCTGCATCTGGAAATGCACATCCTTCGAACGACTTCAGAAGTATTTTGTGCTGTCGCGCAGTCAATACGGTTCTTTTTCTCTTCTTGACACCAATATCCATGTACGGCTAAAATTTACTTTAATAATTTATTGCTAAAAATTAAAAAATAAAACTACATAATTGAAATAATTCACACAACACTCCACACTGGTCAATTTCTTTCATAAGGCTTTCTGTCTTACATTTTTATTATACTTCTGCAAACCGCTGCTGGAAAAGACGTGGTAGGAAGATGAAGAATATAAGACTAGTTGCCGTCTTGCATCACTAAATGCTCTACGATTGCTGAAATACACATATCTCTATGGCGTAATCACATTCTTTGGGCATGATCAAGTTTTTAAAAGAAAGATACAAGCATAAGCACATTGTAGGAGCTTGTAAGTAAGGAATGTGTGTTGTGTTTCCCAGTAGTTCTCTTGGCATGATCGTAATACCATTTGCAATATTGGTTCGAATTGCACTCTATAACTCTTCCTTTGGAGTAAAAATGAAAAATGCATAAATCCAGCACAAAATATCTCTACTTTGGAATTTACAGAATATTTTACGTATATGTTTTATTGGTGCTTTTATAAGGATCGGCAATGCCGTGGGCACGATTCATTTGCATGCAGCGACATTCCTGCAAGTTTGTTAATATGTATAAAAGAATTGCCAATCCCAGAATATGAAATCCACATATAAAACATCGATTCAAAAACCCAGGCATCTTCAAGAAAAGTAAAAATGAACCAAAATATATAATAAATAGTTGGAATATTCGTATGAATACAATAAATAGACCTATAGTAAATAAAAGTAAAAGCCCATGAAGAAATTAGCATTGGAAATCAAAAAAGCAACGAAGCATAGTTTACTCACACAAAGATAACTTTTCAAGAAGACGCACAAACGATCTTACTGGTCTACCTGTCGCTTCTTTCCCATGAATCTCGGAAATATAGCTCTTGTCCATAGTTCCTGCAATATCAAAATGGACCCACCTGACCTTACCGGTGTCTACAAACTCTTTCAAAAACTCGGCTGCCTTGCAAGATCCACCATCTGGACCACCCATGTTATTAATATCCGCCACATGAGACTTCATAGCTTCCCTGTAAAATGGAGAGAGGGGCATGCGCCAGAACATGTCATTGCATTCCATTCCACATTCATAGATCATTTTTGCAAAGGCATCGTCTTCCGTAAAGAAGCCCGCATATACTCTACCTAGGGATACAATCATTGCACCCGTGAGTGTAGCCGCATCAACTAGATACTTTGGGCTCTCTTTCTGGGCCAACGTTAATGCATCGGCAAGGATCAGCCGACCCTCAGCATCAGTATTGTCTACTTCTACAGTTATTCCTGACATGCTTTTGAACACATCGCCTGGTTTTGTAGCTATACCCGAAGGCAAATTCTCAACAAGTGGTAATGTTGCAGTAATATTGGCCTTTATGCCTAAAGCAACAGCCAATTTCAATGAGCACAGTAGTGTAGCAGCACCCATCATATCATGCTTCATAGAGTACATGTTTGCAGCGGGCTTTATTGAGATCCCGCCACTGTCGAAGCATACACCCTTACCTACTAGAGCTATATCCACAGACCCCTGAATCCTTCCTTCATACTTTATGCGTAGCAGCTTGGGCTCCTGAACAGATCCCTGACTTACAGACAAGATTAGATTCATTTGATTCTGAGCCATGTAGTCCTTTGAGTAGACGTCAATTACTACATTATCTCCCTCAAAAATCATCTTCGAGTATTCGACGAATGCAGTAGGTGTCATCAGATTGGCTGGCGTGTCTCCAAGAAACCTGGCAATATTCTGCACATGGGCTATTTCAATGATATTTTTATACTTTTCAGAGCGTAGAAGGAAAGAAGTCTCTTCTTTTGTCTTCTTCAGGAAATCATAAGTGTAGCTGGCCAAAATCAAAGAGAAAATAGCATCTTCGGTGAAGTCAGAATCCTCAAAAACTATCTCGGCCTTATCAAACCTCTTTAGATTATCATAAAGAGACTTCATTGCTTTGCCAACATTTGTTCTTTTAACAATCAAGTTTTTTTCGCTTGACTTTCCCACACACACAAAAATATCCTTTTCTAAACAAAAGACTTCACCCACGCATCCTCTTGGATTATTTGACGAGAGAAAGACCCTGTGTTCTTCTTCCATGTTTTCGGAATGGATTGTGATTGCTTCTTGGTCCTTTGAGAAGAGAAAGACCCTGACTTTGTCTTGTGGGTCGGCCAATTCAAACCGTTTCCTGAGCCTTGGAAAGTCCAGCAATTCCATGGGGCAATTTACAAAGAATTATAATACCTGTAAAAGTTGAAATTAAATGAACTATATTATAGTGGATGGGCACCCCATAACATACTCTAAACGCTAGTACAATATTAGTCAACCTTAATAATTTTTAATCTACTCTACTGTGCTTAATATTTCTGCCGTCTCCTTTAAATGGCTTGAATACTCCTTTGCAACACTCTTCAACACTTTTCCAACTGAAGCATCATCAACAAACTGTAACATCATTTTCAAAACCTGTGCTGAAAACGTTGAAAACTCTTTCTTTTCTACATCCCTTATTTCTCCGTTATATCCTCCATCCTGCAGAAGAATCTCAAGGTCGTATCTCATGTTTTTAACCTTCTTTCTATTCTTATCAATCTCAATGCATTGGTTCCTCTTTTCCTTCAGCTGCAACCTGATACTTTCCAGTCTTGAATTCAGCGTCTTCTTTGACTCTGAAAGTTTTTTGTATGCACCTGAGAATTTCTCTGCTGACCTTTTGCATTCTGGATCCAGATTCATCATGCTCATTCTTCTGGCCATCAGCGACATCTCCTCAAAAACATCCTTGTTCTTGTATACATTCAGCGCTGATTTCTCACTTATTGACTCCATGCCATTCTTTAGAACCTTCAGGAATCTATTTCCATGCTCGTAGCTCATCAGATTTTTTATCATTATGTTTGCATTGTTTAGGCTCTTCTTAAGCGCACAGTACTCCTCCTCCGACTTTTCATATCCCGGAATTAACTGCACGTTTTTATACTCTAGTTTTCTAATCTTTCTCAATACGGTTGTTGCAAATTCCTTAATTTTGGTGACGCCTTCGGCTGCCAGAGAATTATTCTGCATTGATAAAGGAGTGTGGTGGATATAAATATTGAATGTCAAATTTTGGCCAATCCTTATCTAGTATTAAAGCCCAATAAAAACTAAAAACAGAAATCAATTAGTTACGAGGACAGCCAACTAGACGATGGAAAGCCTACCACACCAGTTGCCATTGCTGAGATAGAAGAAACTATGCTGGTCTCTTTGTGAAGCTTGTTATATGTCAAATACCAACGCCGCGGAAAACTATATGGAACCCAAAATGACGGATATCTGCACGGCGTTGCACAACATCTTCGTCAAAACGCTTTAAGCAAACCCCTTCGCTTTCCGCATCTTTTAAATATTTGATTTCGACCAACCTATTATAACGATATAATTTATTTACTACTGCTCAGGACAATATGTCTGAAATAAAACAAACGAAACACCGTCTACTTCAAAATCAACCAATGTGTGCTCAATGTATGAGCACGCTCCAACCATATGCTTCCCTACAAAAACTACCCAGCCTTTAGAAAACTTTGAATCCAACTCCTTTTTCATCTTTTCAGCCAGCTGAGGAAGTGTGGGCTCATCTTTTATGTGCCTCTTGTATATTTCCATTATTGCCTCCTTTAAGCTCATATCTGCCGGCTCACTTTTGAACTTAAACTCTATATCTTTTGTCTCATGCTTCTCGCTTTCTCCTTCTTTTGTTGTGGAGACCATAGGTCAAGTTTCTGGTAATTTTTTAAACAAATAAAGATGAGCCAAGTCACCATAGGCATATGATTATACAGAAAACCATCAAATACCTCACATGTTAAAATAAACAGCCTTTGATGTATTTATTAGATCTTATATCCAACATAAAACCTGTATTCATAGCCATTTTCATAGAAACAGTTGTCTTTGAGTTCCCACGTCTTTTCTACCTTCTTGTCAACAAGAAATTGGTCAACCTTAGAAGAGACATTCTCAAGTCTAGCATCCACCTCTGGAAATGTACGGTCACCCTTGAGGCTATTTTCCTCAACAACTGTGCAGAACAATTTACAGTCGTAGCTTCTAATCGCATCTTCATATATCTTTGATCCTCCAAAAGCAATCACGTACATTCCACTACTCTTGGCAAAGTCAATAGCTTCTGGCAATGTCTTGAATGATTTTGCATTGCCTTCAGCTACTTCAGAGGACGTAACAACTAATATTTGCACATCCTTGATTCTCTTGATGGTTTCATACGTAGTTTTTCCCACAACCAAAGCAGTATTTGGATAGAGACGGATAAGCTTAGTGACGTACTTCATGTCGCCTTTGAAATCCCTTTTCCACGGAAGGTCTCCCTCGTATCCAATGTACCTATTCTGAGAAGTATATGCTACAAGCACATTTATCTTTTCCTTACTCAAGTCTATCTCGTTTGACATCGTTGGACCCAGGGCTCAAAAAAATTTAATAAACATAGCGGGTGCAAAGAACCAGCAAAGACATGATGGCCAGAGTCTTGCTACCAATTAATTCAAGTCGCAAATCAAAATTACATAACTTTAATCGAATACATTCTTGCCTGGATCATAATGATCTGGATCTGGCTCGGGGCCCCTATCCTTCTTCTTTTTAGATGGATACGCAGGATCCACATTTATAAATGGATTATCATCCGAAGAGTCCAAGTTGTCTGGACTAGCCACCATTCCTTTAACTTTGCTCTTCTTTTTGAGCTTTTGGTCAAAGTTTGGAGCAATATCATCTGCACCAATTTTCCCAAATGGACTAATATGCTCTTCCCCAGGCTTGTCTTTGATTAGGGGCTCAAATAGACTATCTTCTTTCGATGTTTGTGGCTCAGAAGGCCTATGCTCCCTGGCGAGAGCTTGGGATTGGCCACTAGTAGAGGCATTTACAAAAGAGCTGGAATCGGCTTTTGATATTAGATATGTTCCGCTGTTTGTGTAGACAGTAAATGACCCATCTGACTCCATCCTCACTTTGAAATGCTTTTTGAGAAATTCTAGCAAATCATCACTTGAGCTGTTGCTCATGGGCAGAGTACGAACAAACTTATCAAAAGTTCATTTCTGCACTACATATAAGTGAATATGAACACAAAAAGCTAATGTACTGGTTATAGTACTAACTAAAATAAAAATGTAAGCAAACTTAAGATAGGTGCACTAATATCAATTTTTCTTTATTTTTATCTTTTTATGGAAATATGCACACTCTTTCTTAAATCTTTTATCATGCATTTGAATGTAGCTGCTTGGCGTGCAGAACTGGGGAAATTGCTCAAAGAAGCTTCGGTATCCGCCTTCTAGAATGTAGATTTCTGGGAAATCAAGCCTTGGGTATTCATTTCCCTTTCTGTCCCAGTTTCTGACTCTTCTGGCCAAAGTGGGTCCCCGGATGGATGAAAATTCGCAGTAGAAAATTAATATCCTCCTGTCCTTTATAGTCCTGAATACATCGCCTTCGTTATTAATATTTACAGCTCCCCTTATGTGTCCACCATCATACTCATAGCTAAACCTGGCATCGATCACCAAGTAATCTCGCTCGAATGTCTTGTTTATAAGACACACAAGTGTCTGTGCCGATATTCTCTTTATTGCATCACTCTTTCCGCACCCAAGCGTTGGCAGCGTGATCTGTTCGCCGCTATTGGCAAAGTCCCAACAAGTGCCTTCTAAATTCTGTGGAACTGATCGAATCAAACTGTTGGACTTAAGAAGAAAAAATGCATTTCTAGACCAGTTCTGTGATCTTTTGTCTTCCACGGCTAGCTTCTTCCTCATAAAAGTTGAAGAGTCCTCACGAAATGGATTTTCATTTTCAAGATTTTCATCCAAATCTGACCAAAAATCCTCCGAACTGGTGTCTATAAGAATGTTTAGGAATGGTTTCTCTGACATTATGTCATTGCTGTACTCCTCTGGACTGCTGTTGTTTGTGAAAATATCATGGGCCGGCATGTAAGGGACCAAAAAATTCAATTTACTCAATCCAAACATATTCAGAAAAAATTTTTACAAAATTAAAAGTACAGATTAAATAATACAGAAAAGCCCCGGAGACACGCATTTATGTTTGTTTGCTGGTCCTTTGTTTGTTTTTGTAAATAAACAACAAAACTTTCTATTTTATTTATTTTGAAGAATATAAAACACAATTAATTTGACTGGTGTGGCTGTCAATCAATAATGGTTTAACAGAAGTAAAAATGAAAATTTAAAAGTATTATGGAGTAGAACACACCATACTTGTTGTTTGATGCCGGATTCTTCACGGCCTGGAAAATTTAGAAACAGGAATTTAAAATCAAAATAAAGAAAAATGAGTGACTTATCATTTGATTTGGCTTCATTTTGCCAATATGTTGGGTGATTTTGTGCACAGTGCATCTTTTTGTAAAAATTTTAGCATCAAAGTTGGCTGGTGATGGAAAGAATCCATTCCACGTGAATTTACGTCGTTCTGCATGGCTTTGTCTAGTTCAAGCAGCCAATTGGTCAATTATACAAATATTCTGTGAAGTCTCTGTTTTACTATTGAATTTTTTGGATAAAGTTTGCCTATTTAAATGATTGACAGTTAATTTGCCTTGAGATAAAGTTACTAATGAAAAGACGGTAAACTGCATCCACAGCATAGCTATATTCACGGTGCAAGTGTGCTTTGAAAGATGAGGGCTGCATGCGAAGTGAGCAATCTCCATATCTATTTGGTAAAACTTAGTGCCCAAATGAACATTAGACAAGCCTTGGATTCCAGCGAGAATATTCTAAAAACACTCAAAAAGTTTCCAAAACATTCAAGATGCCCACATGTTGAAGAAAGATATCCCAGAAGAGTGCTTGTTGAGGCCCACACTGAAATCCTGAGAAAGTGTCTTCCTCTTTTTGCAAAAATCACAAAAGAGGCAAAGGCCTTCGTTCAGAACTTCGATCAAAAGGCGCTTGAGAATGTGGCATCAAGAAAGGAGTACATCGAGTCTAAAATTGCAGAAGCCCGGAGTGATTTCCATGAACAAACTAGAAAAAATAAGATCATTTCGGAGATTGAAAGCCTGGAAAAGGTGAATATCCAGAAGTTTGAAAGGCTTGTTGTTGACGAAGCAAAATCCGCGGCAATAATTGATTATATATTTGAATCATGTGAAGAGTGCTCAGGCTTAAGGGTACTTGAGAATTTTATTGAGCTCACATACGACAGAAATGCAGGAGAAAGAACTGACTCGTATGAGAAAATACTCCAACTTTTATAAACGAACAAAAATATTTAGATTAAAACGCTTGGGTGGGTGCACCAAGCAAATATAAATACTGCTCAAAGCATTATGGATTGATTAATCTGGTTTATTTAGTTTTTGATCTCCCTGCCGCTAACGACCTTCTCATAATTCTAGTTTTGACACCTTGGTCATCTAGTGAAAGAACTTTCTTCTTGTTCTGCCTCTTTGCATTCATCTTTACTAGCTTACTTTTTGATGTCTTCTTCTTTTTTGAGTCAAACTGTGCGCTGGCAGCCTTCTGCCGTGGATCTCTGATCATGTGTGACATCTCTTTGCGTCCATTGGCATCTTTGCTTCTGTCCTTCAGAACAAATCGTTGTGCCATGCCCTTGAATACATATTTTCTTTAAATACGTGCGTGTCTCCTTTAATTTACCAATGCGCTCCTTTATTTTTGATGCAGTATGTTTAAGCAATTTATAAAATTTTACTAGACGTTTTTACTAAACATTTTAAAATCGGCCATAAACGATATTAAGGTTTTATTCAAGCAGCCACTGTGCCATTCATTTTAGGAATGGTTTTCAGTGTTGCACTCATTCTTTGTGCCCCTACTCTTCCCATCACTTCAACCTTTGGTGCAGACATCGCCTTCTTCTCAAGATCAATTGTAGTTGTGTAACCAAGTATTTTAGCCTGGATATAGGCTCCAAAAGCAACGGCCAATTGAACAATACAAAATACATTGACAACAAATTCAATATGCTGCCTAAAGCCTTCCACATAGCTATTTCTTACGGGAAAAATGTTGTAGCTTTTCAATAAAGTTAGGAATCCCTGGGTATGGTCAATCATTTCTTCAGAAACCGAAGTCATTACTGAGCTGACATAAAAGCAATAAAAATAAAATGCAGCACTGCATGTAAATGCAATTTGCATATAAAGAGCTTTTTCACAGAGCGCCATCCAGAATTTGAATTTAGAAGTGATACAGCATGCCGTTATCACAGAAAATAGCATATTGATGGCGCAAACGTACATGCTCATGTCAGAAAATAGAAATGTTGGCTTGTTGGCTAATCTCTCCTCCAGCCTATTAAACTCACACAGATATGTGTATGCAAACACTCCCATATTGGTCACCATCATAGCCATTGAAATTGTTTGGATGATGACTCTTGTAACTTTGTACTCTGCTGTCTTCATTATTCTCCTTTTGAACTTTGGATTATAAGTATATACAGGAAAAGGAGGCTAAAGGATTGTGAGTAATAAAGACCAAGTTTCTATATAATCGCTAACTATATGTAGATGGTGTGGTTTGGCTAAGCAGTCATTGAAATACCAATCATTCAGGCACGCAATCTAGGCACTGGCCAGGGAAAAGCTCGCGTTGTAGTAAATGATAGCAGATGCTAGATAAACCGATAGCAATATTATCATTTATACAGCATCTGTATTCTATCATGCCAATTGATAGGTGATACAAGACATCAATTGACTTTAAAGTGAGAAATTCTGCTGTACAGGAGGCAACAATTCCAACAATCATCCCCTCACATGATTTTTTCTTTTTCTTCAAAATATCACCTGTAAATGATGCAAACGAATCCAGGATGCATATTGAAATCAAAAGTTTATAAAACTCTCTTTTTTCGAGGACAACCTGTGAATAAGTCAAAATAAAAACCAGAAATGTCAGAGAATAGCAATCTTTCTGCACTTCAGCTTCCTTGGTCAAGAATGTCAGATGTTTAGTGATCAGGGCTATGGTACAGATCCACACTGAGATGTATACGGTCAAGCATCCCAAGAGAATGTTCAACTTCTGCATTTTGGAAAAGGTGAGGAATCCCAAGAAATGAAAGGTTTTTCGTGCTATGTTTTTGTTACCTATTTTTAAATTAAGAGCCTGTGCAAAGCAGAATAGTGTTAGAATGAATACCAAGTACATAACATAATGCTTTGATTCAGTAGCAGTGCTATATATCTGGAAAAAGTACTTCCAGGGCTCAAATCCTATTGAAACTGGAAGAGAAATGATGTTTTCAATAGAAAATGGAACAACAAATGCAAAGAATGATGAAAGAAAAAGAGGATGTGTGTGGCCACGTAAGAGAGCCAGCAATACCGCAGTAAAAATGAATATTTCTGATCTATAGAAGACGTGCCTGCGTCTATTAAGACCCAAATAAAACGAAAGGCAAAGAACAATATCATGTATCATTGCGGGTGGCTATTGGGGTAGAAAGCTAAACAGGCTCCCTACAAACTACGTTACTCCTCTGGTATATTTGTTATTCTACGCAATAGCGGCAATGGTGCCATTTCCAAAACTATTGATGTGGTTTGCAAAAGATAATTAAAGTTGGCTAGTTTCATTAATTTATTGCTCTGTCTTGTATTTGAGCATTGTCAAAGTTCAATCTCAAGCCTATCTTCATCAACACGCCTCTTCTTAAGTGGCTTAAATGAAGACTCGTTGATCTTTATTCCCTGTGATTTATTCAGATCTGGAATATTAACTACAAACCCTTTAAAATTGTCTGGCCTTGGCGGAACTGGAAGAGGCTCTTCGTTTTGAACAGACACTTCTACTTTCTTTTCAGGCTCTGGACTTTCTTTCTGCAGCTCCTCTGTCTTTTCCATCTTTTTTTGGTTTAAGGTGACTGTTGGTTCAGTAATCTTCTCTAGGATTGACTGGCGAGGAATTTTCTCCGTAACTGACTGCACAGGCATCGGCTGGGACTCCTGAATTGATACACGACTCTTCTTTACAGCCTTTTCTGCAGTATATACTGGCTTTGGAGAAGTATCGGTTTCAGAAAGCTCCTTATTAAGAAGTTGGAATGGTAGCTTCTTCTTGTTTAAGCTCAAATGCATACTTGTGAAGGGATCTATCATCACGACTTGATTGTCCTCCAGCACATCTCCAACTGTATATATGTCCAGTACTTCAAACCAATCGGAGCTTCGAAGAGCATAGCTGGGAATAGTGATGTTGTAGTTTGTTTTCAAAATGTTGTTAATTGCTTTTTTTAAATCATTCAGTGAAGACTTTTGATGTGTTCTGACGTAGAACTTGATCATCGAGTTTAGCTCCACTTTAAGTCTGATACTTTCTTGGGACATGGGCAAGTGAAAAAGTTATCTTATTAAAACGCAGGAGAGTTAGAGTGGCAAAAAACTTCACGGAAGTATATACTTTAAAGCTTAGTAGTACGTGAAATTTGATCCTAGAATGCAAGCAGATTTTGCCTACATTGTTGTATATCATGCAAAGACACCATTGTGAACCGTGGAAACTAATCTTACCAAACTAACACTTAGATTAAATATAGATAGGCCAAGTATGTTTTTAGTTAATCTATTTATTTTGTGTTTTATTCTTTGAGTACTTCTATTAGCATTTTATCAACCGACTTATCAACTGAGCACATCCAAATACGCGTCTTAAACACCTTATAAAGATCCTTGACGAGCCCTCTAAAATCAATCCTCTCCTCACTCTTGTAAAAGAATGTAACTTTGTTGAGATCAAACTGGTACTCGCAGTCTAGAACTGTCATTTTGAGACTCATCTCCTCAACATGCTTCTTGCATTCTTCAATTGCATAGGCAACCATTTCCTTTCTCTGCTGATTAACCTTCAGATCCTCCTCATTTGCCACTCGATATATCCTCTTCAGTTTAAAGTCATTGTCTATATTCTTATATCTTCTTAGAAAGTCTTCCCAGCAGTCACGCGTTGTATATCCTTTAATTATCCCACAGTCCTCTCCCCTATCGGCCTCCAAAATCACATACACATTCTTCTGTATCTTCTCATTACTTATATTATACGCTATGTCTAGTCTTTTGGACGGAAATTCAACCACATACAGCAAAAAATCTTCTTCTATCTTTGGCTTCTCGCACACATTCCTGCGATTGAATGGGTTGGTGCCAACAATCCGCCAATCTTCATGGGTATCCTCCCATGTTTCGCTTGTTTCTGACCATAATGAGCTCATGAAACGCGAGGACCACACTTCTTCGGGCATGGGCAATTTTTTCAAGCGTAAATAAAACAGAATAGACAGCCAATGCAAATCTATATTGAAAATACTGTGGGAGCCAAATCGTACTTGAAAGCCGTGTAAGCATCTAGCATGGACCAGTAAAGGCTGACAAAATCGCTTATAATTTTGACATATTGATAGATTTACTTTCCAAAAATATTCAACAAATATCCGTCACAAAGCTATAAGCCATTTGACACTCCCACTCACCACCATGAAACTTTCTGCCGACAAAGCTCTTAGTCTATTGATTACACTTAATAATCCTCGACAGTAGATCTGTATTTGCCACTGTTTGGTCATCCATCGATTAAGTGAACTGCATTACTTCCACTGGTCTACAAATTTTTTAAGCTTTGGAAACAACCTGACTGTGTTTTCATATGTAATTCTCTCAAGTTCTTCGATCGAAATGCCCTTTATGCATGCTACCGCTTCTGCCACATTTCTAATATTAACAGGCATGCTAAATTTAGACCTTCCAATCGTAGCGAACTGGCTTGATGCATGGCCCTTTCTTATTTGGCAGTATGGGCTATCTGTCTCGAGCAAAATATGGGTGAGTGGTATATCTTTCACAACCTCAATATTCTCCTCAGTCCTCAACGAGCAACCATTTATTCCAATACAAAATCCATACGAAATAGCCGTTCTAGCCTCTTCAACAGTTCCATCAAAACTATGAACTACACCTCTGTGTGCCTTGCCATTGCTAATTGCAATTCTGATGAAGTCCTCAAATGCATCTCTACAGTGATAAAAAATGGGCAAATCATATTCTTCTTGCAAGCCAACCTGGAAAGCAAATATTTCCAACTGCTCTTTTGACTTACAAGATCTAAAATAGTCCAATCCGCACTCTCCGATGCCAATGACCCTTGCATCACTGAAATCCATATTTTTAATACTATTTTTTAGAACCTCCACTTCGCTCTTACCTGTAAAATCGTCTTCTATTGACTGCTTATGCTTCCTCTGAATGTGGTTTGGATGAACCCCCAAAAAGCAGCAGGTATTGTAAATTCTTGCCAGCTCCAAGCATTTTTCAGAGCTAGAAACATCCAGCCCCACGAACACCGGAAATACTTTATTCAATCTACAATCCTGAAGTATCTGTTCTATGTTCTCTTGCATTTTTTCACACGTGATGTTACAGGCGATATCGATAAACATCTTGGTGGTGGATGAAGGGCTTAAAAGTGGCGATTAAGAGTGAGCAGATGAAGATATGGCTAAAATATGAAAGCTAAGCTGTCCTGCGAACATAGCTAACAAATAATGTAAGGGGCAAAATCATTTTAATATTATTTCCTCATATCAAAATTAAACTTATCTACTTAGCATCAACACAGCAATGCACATGCAAAGCCTTGAAAAGTAGGCTTGTCTTTTTAATCAGTAACAGTACCTACACCTCCGACTATTTTGATGGCTGCTCTCCAATAATGCAAGCTTGTCTTTGCATTTATTTTTTCTTTCTTTTCTTGACTAAACACACCCCAATGAGAAAAACCTATAAGCCACTTGCCAGAGCAGAAAAGGCTTCTCAGATGTTCCGAAAGAAGACACTAAATGTAAATGACAACCTTAACATTAAGCATGACGACGACGATATTGAGAATGTTGATGAATACTGGTCTACTGCAGTAAGTGTCATTGGCAATTCAACCATTGATTCAATTGACAATGAAAAATCCATTGAACCAAGTGATACTCTCTTTAACATCAACACCATTAGGAAAAGCATTCAGGGCGAGGGGAATATTCAGAAAATCAGGACTAGTGAAGAGCTTGCTGAGGATCTGTATCGGCAGAGTGTAGATGAAGGTAAAATACTCCAGAAAGGCCTTGCAGAAAGTAGTACGGAAAATAGTGGTATAGAAAGTAGCAATAGAGAAAGCCACACAGGATATATGAAGGCAACAATTAAAAAGGTGGTTACCTCAGAAGAGGACAGCAGTCTGATTAGGCTTCCGGATGGTAAAGACAATTCGGCCGAGGCAAATAATTTTGACGGGACTAATTCAGGTTACATTATTTCTGATGGAATTGACATGGATCCTGGCATTCAAAATGATACCGCGTCTATGATTGGACAAGAGAGCGAAATAAAGGAGAATTCTATGAATAGGCTTGGAATTGAGACAGCTTTAAAGCCGGATGTAAAGGGGGATGTCAATATGGCATTAAAAAGCTTTAAGACCATTAAAACATCACCGAAGAAGAAAAGTTCCTCAACAACTAGGCAGAAAGAGGTAAGCCAAAAGGTGCACTCTGAGGTGGAGAGCACCAGTTCGTTTGAGAGAACCAGAATTGAGGCTCATGACCCCAAAAAACAGAAGAGATCACACATCTTTGAAGTTGAAAATACAGTTTTAAATCTTAACAAGAACACAATTGCCCCTCTTTTCTGCTCCATTTCTGTCGATGTTGCCACAATGACTCTTGATTATCTGGCCTATGTCGACAACTACAAAACTGAGAATGCCTTTTCTGTTTACATCATTAAAGGCAAAATAGAATTGACAGTTAATGGGCAAACAAAAATAGCACCCAAGGGATCTGTTTCGGTTGTTGAGAGGGACGATGTTTGCTCTGTTAACTGTATCTCTAAGAATGGCGCAATACTTTTACTAACATATGCATTGTAGTTAAAAATTTTCAAATAAAGTTTATGGCAAATACACTCAATTATATTTAGTTTTAAGAGATTTCTCTATATGTGCTGTTCTTTTGAGTAAATATCTTGTGTATCAGTCCTTGTCTACGCATTAATATCATACAGAGGGGTGTTCTGATATTGATTAGAAAATTTAAAGAATAAGTTGGATTTGTCGAAATTTAACATAAAGCCAGTCAGCTACCATAACAACAATGCTATTTGCAATACAAGCCATATTAAAAATACGAAGATTTTATCTTTTAGTTTATTCCCAGTGCTGCCTCAATTATCCCAATGATCACACCTACTAAAAATGCATACATAAGAATTTTTAGAGTACTAGGTTTCTGGTTCGCCGGATTTGCAGCCTCTTCTTCCTCCTTCGTGAAATAGATATTCTTCCCAAATACCCGTCTCAGTGTGATTTTTCCTAGAAGGCCATTATTGAGGTCCATTTCGTTGAAGGGGTTGTCGGATGCGTAAATCTTTTTAGATCCTATATGAAGGTTCTGGGGAAGATACAGTCCTCTAATGCAGTTTTTGTCCAACCTAATACATTCTAGCTTAGGCATAGTGAAAATGTACGGTGAAACATACTCAATCCTATTTCTCGGCATAGCTAAGATCGTTAGATTACGAAGATTTGCAATGGCGTCTGGAATGTAGGTGATCAGACAATCGGCTATCAGGATACAATCTAAGAAATCTAGTCTAAAGAAAAAGTCTGGTAGGAATTGGATGGGGTTCTGAATAATCAGTATCAACTGGAGATTTCTCAACCGTTCAACAGAACGTGGGACATCACGAAGACTGTTATTGCAGAGATCCAAGACACCGATTCGATCCTCGACACGCCTAATATCTTCCTCTGGGATATCCTGAATGTAGACATTAATGTATCTAAGAACTATGATTCTGCCGAACATATATGATCAACTTCCTTTATTCCATTAAATATCGTTTAAAGGGTTAAAAGGAGAAACGGAGATACAGAGCCATCAAGTAAAATATAATGAATAGTTTGAAACACCATGCAGCAAATAGGCCAAGTCACAAAGTTTTAGTTCAAAGACGCACATACAATTTACAAATCTCCAGCTGGTAGGAGTAGAATGCTCTGGTGCTGCAGAAGATGTAGGCGGCTCATTTAATTATTAGACTACTGTTCTTTTGTTTTTGCGGCTGGCAAGCTTACAAATAGCATACTCATTAAAACAGCCAAACTAACAAAGATACAAATAGGAATATTGTCGATGGTAGTCCAAAACAAAGGGCAATAATCATCTTTATCTGCCTTGGCCCATTGCTTTCCATTGCACTTTTCATGTGCGGATTCTTTTCAGGGCTTTCATTTGAGCCTTAAATAAATCAGATGGCATATTTCTTCATAGCACAAGTGCGAAACTTTTAAATACAGCTTTAAAGTCATATCTCGACAGACACATTTTAACTCATAATTTATTCTGGAAATGATAGATTCTCTTCATAAAATTCAATTAGCTTCAAAGGCGCCTTGTATTTCAATACATCACTTGGAGAGGTGGCGTTTTGCCCATTTTTTTTGAGTATATACTCGATTTCAATCACTCCATACTCATTTATTGAAGCCCCTATAACCTTCTCAATTTCGTTATGCCATTCATTTGTGATTAGAGGAACTAGCGCACTCTTCGGTTCAGCAGCTGGCTTGTTTGATTCAAGTGCGGCTTTGCTCCGCGTGCTCGTCTTTTTCGCATTTTGCTTCTCTTTGGTTTTCTTCTCGCTCTCCTTTTTGGTTTTAGTGTCCATATAACTCTTCAACATCTCTTCGCACATTAGATTTTCCTCATATTCCCATGTGTTTTCACTATCCGGATATCCAATCCACTTAATGAGATACTGTTTTTTCCCCTTGACTACCCGATCATCAAGTATTCTTTCTACATCAAATACATCCTCGGCTGAGTTGTCAACACCACCCATCGTTTGGGGAGGGGAGCCGTGGACAAAGGTAAATTTTTTCTGTTTGTTTTGTCCAGACAAAGAAATATTAGAAGAGATATGTATTGAGTGACGACACCTAAATACCAAATCCGCTCTGAATAATGACAAGCACACCCCGAGCATATCTCAATGATAGATGGAGAAAAGCTGCCACACATTAGAGTAAGAAGTGCGCTATAAGCATTTAAACATGCATTCGTTGATCAAATAAAAGACTATATTTTGAACAGAGCTATTTTGTCTTGTCATCGCTGGCCTCAAGCCTTCTACTTTCTATCACACCCTTATTTCTGATTTTAAGCCCTAGAAAAATGGAGCCGCAGAATATTACCAATATGCCTACAATAAATTCTTTGAGCTGCTTCTTAGAGTACGACTCGAAGTCCTGGAAATAGATTCCAGCCGTGAGGATACTCAGGACGGTCCAGCTCATATGAAATATTGGCAGAACAATCAATGCGTCGTAGTGTTTTAAGGCTCTATTCAGCCAGTATATCTGCAGAAAAGTGCACAGAAAGAGCGTGAAGATGAAAAACAGCGTGGTGAATGAGAACACAGGCCCCTGCTCATTGAGGTATCTATCTGCAATCTGGCCTAAAATTTTGATGCTCAGTGTTGTGAATGAGGCAATAAATGAGGAAAGAAAAACGTAGACAAACACCATTACATACTTCAGCACAACGCCATTCTCTTCTAAAAACAGGGTTTCGGACTTGAGGAACTGAAATCTGTCATTAATGAGACTCCATGGGCTGTTTAGTTCCACAAACTTGATGATAAGGAATAATGAAAAGATGCTTGTAAATATAAAGATGATCCAAACAATATTCTGATTTTGCTTTAGCATGCTTATTAACTCGCAGATCGTGTAGGTAGTATGGGTTCTACTAGTATTGTTGATCATAATGAAGGATCCGATGAGCACGAGGGTGATCGCCCCTCCATCATTCCAAGTGAATATTTCCTTGTTGATTATTGGTGCGAATATTGAATTGAAGACCAGCCCGAAGGCACTTAGTCCGGCCAAGATAGATTGATTACAGAATATATATGCGCTAAAGCTAGATACCTTGCCCAAGAAGTAAAGGAAGATTCCGAGATGCATTGAGTTGAGAGTGTAGCTCATTAGATTGACATCTCTCGATGTGTAGCTTTTCTTCTGAAAGTTTATTCCAAGATTAATGAGTAAATTGCCACCCAAGCTCAATATGGTTCCCAGCATCCATGTAGGCTCAGGCTTTTCGGAGCACCTTGAAATTCCGTTTTCGGTCAGACAGAAGTGGTTCCTTGAGCAGCCGTTGAGTGGCTTAGGCCTTTCCGGATGGCACTTTCCCCTCAAGGGCACAGGCCTGCAGCAATATACTGTTTTCTCATAGAATGGATTGCCGCACTCACTTTTAGTGCTACAATCCGTAGAGCATGCCAGTGGACCGTAGTAAATAAACGAAGCACATTCCTGCGGTAGCTTACACGGGCTGTAAGCGGGCTTTATACTGGTGCATCTATTATTAACACAGAATTTATTTCCAAAGTCGAGAAAAGTGTCTATTCTGCAATCTGCATCCAGGATGCATTCAAATGCCTGAGCTAATGACAGATTCAGCAAAGCCAAGATCATTGTTTACATTCTAAGAACACCTTTGTTATATTTGTTTCAGGTTTCTCAGGGAATTACCTTACAAAACAGCAGTGTTGCATGCTGTGCATTAACGATCTGTTTTAACTTACAGCCTAATTCTTATTAGCTGTTTCATTCCTAATACAAGATGCCATTGGATAAAGAATTATTTAAAAGTTTAAGAGACTTTACGCACACTTTAGTTTTTGTCCCTAGCTTTTAACAATTTATTGCAAAGTAAATCAATAGGGGTCTTACCTCATTGAGCTTAAGCGAATACTCTTTAATCCTTTCAAACTCGGCCTGCTGCTTTTCAGTAAAGTTGTTTTTTGAAATAAAACAGTCCAGCAGCTTCTTTCCTTTGATATTTATCTCAAGTACAGGATTGTTCTTTGATGGATTGTTCATTGTTATTTTCAGGCAACTTCGATCTTCCGAGCTATTGATGGTTATCGTTCCAAAAATCTTCTCAAGGACTTCCAAGTACTGCTTTTCCCAGTAAAATATATCTTCAATGTAGTTTTCTGTGTTAATAATCGTTAGTCTTCGCTGCTTAGCCGCGAGATCATTCCTCACTTCCTTCAACTGTCTTTCTTCTTCAAGCTTGGACTCAATGGAGAATGTGCCAATCAGAGACTTTTTGCTTTCAATTTCACCGAAGACTCGTTTAATGCCATTTTCAATTTCGTCAAATTCTTCATTTAACTTGTCATTGACCAGCACCTTTTCGTGCAGATCTACTAAATGGTTGTATTCCTTCTGTAAGGAAGACTCAAGCTTGTTCAGCTCATTGAGTTTTTCTGTATTTTGTGATAGCAATTGTTCCTCATTATAGACCTCCACGCTCAGTTCTTTCATTTCCTCATCAAGTTTTTTGTATATGTGTTTCACTTCGACCAATTGCTCCTTGGAAGAGGCAATGAGACTTGTTGTGTCATGCGCAGGCTCATTGGATATGTTTAATAGAAAGTCTAGCTTACTTCGTCTCTCCTTGTATGTAAATTTGTAATTGCTGAAGTAATCCTTGACATGCAAAAAGTCATGTTCAATTGTTGAATAGTCTTCTTTCATGAGGGTGGATGAAGCAAAGGTATAGGTGCTAAACCAGAGTTCGCATAAGCAATTATTTTTGCATAGTATTTCAATATAAAACATCAAAGAGACATATTAGCAACTAGACAAACAAAATGAATGGTCTGTAGCTAAAACATTACATGCTGTTTCAACAGAATATGAACTGCAAATAAACTCGAATAATTATACTCTATCAATTTATTACACGTTTAGTGCCAGGCATTCAAGCTCAAAATCATACGTACTCAACCAAAACTTGTGGCACATCATTACAACTAAGAATGTATAGCAGATGTTGAAAAACATATTGTCGAGGCTTCTTTCACTAAGTCTTGCAACAAGATTGGCACACAGAACAGTATGTATTTTAGACATCACGAAAAACATAAAAATAACCCAAAGAACACCGTATCCCCATATCTCACCGTTGCTCTTCCTTAAATTCTTGATCTGAGATCCCAAATACAGCACTATACATCCTGTTTCTATTGATACTAAAATTGTTATTAACTCTCTATTTTTAATCGCTACGAAGATATATATAAAGGTGCTGATCATCACAAAGTATATTGTCGAAAGAATCTGCATAACACTTGCAGACTTCATGCCAAACACTCCGTAAATCTTGTCTATCGTCATCCCGCCTGTAAATAGGCTGAAGAACATGGTTGATTGGAATGCTGCTTGTAGCACATTTAGGAACTTAAGACCATCATCACCCAAAAGTTTGTCAAAACAAAGGGTGCAGACGAGAAGCGAGTTGGAAATCATGTATAAATAAAAAAAAGTCTTCATCTCACCTCTTCCAATGGATGAGTATAGTGAATCCACGTGCGATATCATTCTATTAGCACATACTACTGAAATTAAAAGCAATGCAAGACTATATGGAGAGTTAATTTGAAGTCCGAGAATAGTAGTGCTGAATGCATTGTAAACGGTTTGTTCAATTCCCAAGGTTTTGCAAAGAGGCAGATCAATTTCTGAACAGATATATCTTGGGACTGTCATGGGTATAAACAAATAGAATTAACAAAACATTTGATACTTACCAGGCAAGACCAAATATTGTCAACTCCATATGCTGGTCAGCCTTAGATGTTAGCTAGCTTTCTTTGTTATGCTCAACTTATTTGCAGCTTTGCATTTAAACAACTCCGTCTATACCCCTCATAGAATTCTCCCAAAATTGATTAAAATCTTTGATTGCACAAACTAATGCGTCAAGTATTGAGCTTTTCCCAGAGCCACAGGCATTTTGTGTTTACGCCATGACGTTCGTCTTAAAGTACGACCTCAGCTCGCCCTCCAATTCGTCAAAGGATCCAGCCCTTGACGCATCTCCTTGCAGCAGCAAAATTTTATCAAACTTACTAAGGAAGTCAAATCTACTGCATGTCATAATTATCATGCGATCGTTCAGTGATAGCAGATTTTCTACTAAAACGCCCCTATCTCGCATATTTACTCCCGAAAGACAGTCATCTACAATAAGCACAGGCGTACTTCTCAGCACCCCCCTCATAAAACTTACTCTTTGCCTCTGTCCTCCGCTCAATTCGGTTCCTAATGAGGACGAATCCTTTGCATACCCATTTTCTAGTTCAGAAAAGATACAGTCGACGTTGAAGCGTCTGCATTTTCCAATTATTTCATCCTCGCTCAGATTATTTCCGTATTTCAAGTTGCTCATTATACTCCCGTCAGAATAGGCATCAGCCTGTGATATAAATGTTAGAAGACCGTACAGATGCTGTCTATTTATTTGGTACAGCTCATTTCCATCAAATCTAACACTTCCATTGTAATCCAGTAGTCCAGCTAAGATCCTAAGCAGTATGGTTTTTCCTGAGCCGTTTGCACCTACAATAGCCATTTTTTGATTTTTTTCAAGCTTGAAACTAACATTAGAGAAGAGGGCTTGAAACGAAAGACTGTCGCATTCAATCTTGCTAATAGTGTCAAGCAAAATTGGTCTAATTTCGCCCTGGATCAAGCCTTGCTCTAGTGTACAAAACAAATAAAAGTATTCACTGAATTCTGTAATTGACGTCAGAAACGTCCTTAGAGAGTCACATAGATGGCAAATTTGACTAACGGTCGCATCCAGAAAGTCTCCTGATATTACATCTGTGTAGTACAGTGCAATGACAAAGACATTGGATAATATTTCGATAGTCTTGTAGTACAGCTCGCTTTTTGACTTGTATACCAGGTATCCAAGCTTTGCTTTATATCTTGCATGCATTACATCACGTATCCTCTCGTGCGAGTTTTTATTAAGGTTGTATACTTTGACAATATGAAAATTTGACGATTCATTTTCAACAAGCGAGCGTGAGCGATTCTTGGTATCAATATACTTGTGCTGAAAGGCATTGAGCGTCTTCAGGCATGCCGTAAATATAACGATATGCATTACAGATCCCATAAGCATTCCTAATCCAAAATTAAGCGTAGTTTTTTTAATGATATGTACTATGGTTAGAACAGCACCCAGAGCACTAGCAACAATTTTCATGACAATACCATACATAATGATGGAGACTGCCTCTCCCTTCTCGTATTGTCTAAGGAGGAGTTCTCCAGTTGTATAGCGATGGAACGAATTCCAATCTAGACCCAAAAAGTCGGTCAGAGAAGTTTTCAATCCACTATAAAAGAATTCGCTTGTTGCGATATCGTTGAATATGGCTATGATTAGCTTTACAAGGAATATCTTCACAGACATGGTGGCATAGTCATACATTGTATATCCATCGTCCCTCTTGAATGCCAAGATTAGATAGTCGAATGTCATAACTTCTCTGTAATCCATTGCAATATATAAGGGAAGAAGACATAGCATACCAATAAGATAATACTTATTTGTAGACCTCCAACAGCAATGAATGATCTTTAGAAAACACTTTAGTAAATGCTTGAAACCAAACTGCTGGAGAAAGCTCATAAAGGGGTAAATTTTCTTTAGCTTAAATACTTAGCATTAGTTAAACGAATTGAGATGGCAATAGACGCTCAATGTAACTAGTTGGAGAGCTAAAGTATCACCAATCAAAGATTTTAGAAAGCCTATACAATCTATGTTGTACATAATAGCAATGCGCTATCATTTGATGAGGTTTTACTGTCAAATGACGTGTAAAGTCGAAATATTGCCAATATCTTATTTGGCATGGGCTTACGCTTAAACGTGGATATTTCAAAAATTAGCTTGATTTTGACACTTCTCATCAAAAGACTACGGCAGTGGAGAATTTTACATGCATTCATTAATACTAAGGATCAGCTCGTAAGCCCCACTTGTATTCCATTTAAACACCAAACACTGTGCCAAAACACGGTTTTCAGCTCGCATCGGATGGATACTGGCTTTGCAGGATCATCAATTTATGACATTTATGAGAATGTTCAAGTAGCTCAAAATGCAGAAAAATACCGTGAACAGAAACAGCAAGACAGACCTCCCAGTTGACTGGAAATTAGTATGAGATTAAAATACAAATGTCACAGGGCTCAATTCACCATATGGCTTGGAAGTTTCCACCACTGTCTCCTTTAAAAAATGTTGCTTCATTAGCCCATGTCAAAGACTGTACAGTTCTATGGCTCAAAGTTCATTTGGAAAAAAAAGAAAGTGGTGTTGATTGTTCTTGTTGCGTTTCTTGGTACCATTTTAAAGACATTTGGGAAACTTGGCCAGCAGCGCATTTCCAATATAATATTCTATCCAGAAAAAGAAAACTATAAAAACACTTCACACCTCTACGTTTATCTTTTAGTTTCTATATTCTATGCAGTTACGCTCCCATCTGTCGATATAATCGGCCATTTTCTTGAAAATATCCTAATTCCCGACGCCTTTTCATACTTTTATAAGAAGTTTCTTGAGTATCGATTTATCGACTGGAAAAAATATTTACAAAGTGACTTGTATTCTGCTATAATTCGCAGAAGTAAAGGTACTGCACAGTTTTACAAGCAGATTTTTGTAGATCTGTCTGACCATTCTACATACATTTTTGTTGGAACAATAAAACTAGTGGTTCTGTATGGCTTTCCGCACCACTTTGTTATAGGGTTTGCTCTGATTATCTGCTTTCCAGCCATTATAAACATACTCACGCTACTACGCACACGTTGTCTTAGACGATCCAACGAGTCCTACGATATCGCAGAAAGAAAACTGAAGGACATTTTTTTAAACTATGAGATGATTCATACATACAATACGTTTGACCAAGAGATACATAGCTATGAAATGTCCTATGCAAAGTGGAGATTTTGGTTCACAACGTACTGGATCACAGACGACGTCATTGAAATATCCTACAAGGGTCTCAAGGTTGTTCTCCTTCTAATACTATTTATTCAAATAAGCGAAACAGGATTGTATAGCATTGACCAGGTCATTGATCAAATGAAAACCTTCAACTCTATTCTTAAGAGGATGAATTTGTTTACCACGAGTGTAAAATCGATACTAGAGGCATCTGAAAATATGCTTCACAGCAACTTGGATAAACTGGCGACACCGTATCGGCTATCTCTTGAGACAGTGGACAGATTTGTTTCCAATGTATCAATTGTAGATATGAAAGTGCTCTATGGAGACAATCTTGTGTTTGAAAATGTGGACTTGAGGTTTTTGAAGGGTGAAAAAGTTGTTATTACTGGACCAAATGGATCTGGTAAATCTACGTTTGTCAAATCACTTTTAGGAATAGAAAGGTTTGAAGGAAGCGTGCTGGTAGATGGGATAGACCGCAAGTTTATACATGAAAAAAGCCTCTGCAATCTCTTTTCATATGTGCCTCAAGAGGCGGCAATATTTGAGGCTAGCGTGCTGGATAACATTGCATCCTTTGACCGCCAGAAACCTGTTGAGGAGGTTATGAATAAAGTTGAGGAATTTAACATGCACCAGGAGATGAAGTCCATTGGGTACGACACAATACTTGTTGAGAGAGGCAGAAACATTAGCTCTGCTCAGAGACAGAAAATATGCTTCCTTCGTGCCGTAATCAAAGATACGCCTATTGTGGTGTTCGACGAGATAACCTCAGAAATGGATCAGGAATACGAAAAGCAATTGATTGAACTTATCCATACCCGAATGGCAGACAAAACTGTTGTAATGATAATCCACAACTTGGACTTACTTTCTAAGTTTGATAAAGTTGTTTTCTTTAATAATAAAACAGCAACGGGCTGTTACAGCTGCTCAGAACTGCTGGAGCGTAGTGCAGAATTTAAGAGCTTCTATGACAAAGCTCTTTCACATCAATTAAACAAATAAACTGTATCACACTATTCTACTTGTTTAGTGTTCACAAAATTTATTAAGTATGCTTGTTCTAGACATGCTTTAGAGAAACGTACTATGCTTGGGCAGGTTTCAAATGACCCTGGGCTAATTGCTAGGGGTGTAAAAATACACGTTAAATCTATGATTTAAGGCCTTATTATAATTCAGCTTATGCTTTGAAAATGACCCTTTATTTGTCCTTTTCAGCACAAAAACACTCTTGATTCTACCATGGACAAATGCCATGGCACAGGACATGCAAGGCTCCCTGTAAAGAAAGGCTGTGTAGCCTGTACACAGATATCCTCGCCTACTTCTGCTGACCCTGCTAATGCAATCAGTTACTCCATGGTAAATAACCGACTCTTGATCAATATTGGATGCAATGAGCTCACATCCATCAAACACCAGACATAGACCTGAGCAATAGTGACTATCTTCTATCTCTTCTAGACCATATTCAAGAATTTTATCCACTAAAATATCGGCTTGATGATTCACCTCTCTTTCATCTATTTTTTCTTTGTGCCGATTATACAAGTAACACGGCCATACACTGTTGGCAAGATCGTATTGTTCTCTTGTAATAGGCTCAAACTTAGGCACCATCACATGGATAATTTCGCTTGCTTGTATATCCCTGGCTGAGCCTACTTCTTTCAACAACAAAATTCTAGTCTTTTCTCCATCTTTAATCTTTTTAATTTTTTTAAATATCTCTGATATTCTCCAGCATATTTTTCTTTAACCATTTCTGAAATGTTTTCTTCCTCAATTTCAACAGCAAATGCGTCAGCAAAATCCATTTGGCGTTCTTCTTCATCGGTTTGTAACTTTTTGAACATCATCACTTAGGGGTCATAGAGTGCGAGGTAGTAGAGTGGCTTGTCATTTAGAATAAGCTATCTTTAAATACGAAAAGGCTGGTCTTCATATATGACACCACAGCAGCACTGCATACAAGATGTTATTTAAACACCCAGTATTTTCAGCTTTTAGCATCTAAAAATTTGTCTCCCCAATGTTCGAACAGGATATCCAAAAGAGGGTCACTTCGATTCAGTTTGGCTTGTTTAGCCCAGAGGAAATACGGAAAGGCAGCGTCGTCCATATTTTACATCCTGAAACTGTCGAAAATGGTATTCCTAAGGAGAACGGTCTTATAGACTTGCGAATGGGCACCACTGAAAGAAGCTTTCTTTGTCAAACATGCAACTCAACATCCTTTGAGTGTGTTGGGCATTACGGGCATATCGAGCTATCAAAGCCCATGTTCCACATTGGATATTTAGCCAAGATCAAAAAGACGCTTGAGTGTGTTTGTTTTTATTGTTCTAAAATAAAGGGCTCAAAGAAAAATTTAAGGCCAGGGTTGGAAGATTGCTGGACTGTTCTAAAATCCAAGTCTATATGCGAGGGTGAGGACATCCCCGAGGGCAAGAGTGGATGTGGCAACAGACAGCCATCCATACGTAAGGATGGGCTGAATCTGATTGCGTTCATGAAGGAAGATGTTGACGGAGAGGGCAAGGTGGTTTTGAACGGGGAAAGAGTCTATAATATTTTAAAGAAGATACCTACGGAAGACTCCATGTTTCTAGGATTTGATCCTGACAACTGCAGGCCCGAGTGGATGATGTTGACCACCATTATTGTTCCCCCACCAGCAATGCGACCCTCAATAGTTCTGAATGGCCACTTAAGGGCAGAAGACGATCTAACCCACAAGTTGGCCGATATTGTCAAGGCAAATGCGTATCTCAAAAAATACGAGCAAGAGGGCGCTCCAAGCCACATAGTAAGGGACTATGAACAACTACTGCAGTTCCATCTAGCAACACTTGTAGATAACGATATTGGTGGGCAGCCACAGGCTCTGCAGAAAAACGGAAGGCCTCTTAAGAGCATAACTGCAAGACTAAAGGGCAAAGAGGGGCGTATAAGAGGAAACCTGATGGGGAAAAGAGTAGATTTCAGTGCTCGTTCCGTCATTTCTCCTGATCCACTGATTTCTGTCGGCCAGGTAGGAGTCCCGATCAGCATCGCCAAGATTCACACATTTCCGGAGAAGGTTAATAGCTTTAATATTGACTATCTTCAGAAGTTGGTCAACAGAGGACCCAATGAGCATCCCGGCGCCAATTATGTTATCCGAAGTGATGGGCAAAGAATAGATCTCAATTTTAATAGATTTGATTTAAAGCTCGAAAATGGGTTTACTGTAGAAAGACATATGCAAGACAACGACGAGGTATTGTTTAACCGGCAGCCCAGCCTTCACAAGATGAGTATGATGGGACATAGAGTCAAGGTTATGTCTGGAAAGAGTTTTAGATTGAACTTATCGGCCACATCTCCCTACAATGCAGACTTTGACGGTGATGAGATGAACTTGCACATGCCACAGTCCTATGCCACCAAAGCTGAGCTAGGTCTCTTAACAGCAGTGGACAAGCAAATAGTCTCGCCTCAATCAAATAAGCCTGTCATTGGTATTGTACAAGACACGCTTGTTGGATCCAGACTTCTAACGGTAAGAGATGCTTTTTTCAACAAAAGAGAGGCCATGAATCTTCTTTATAGCTTTAATTCGTTTGGAAAGAAAAACGAAGACTTTTTGGACTATCTAAGGCCTACAATTCTTCAGCCTGTAGAGCTATGGACGGGCAAGCAGCTCTTCTCTGCAATTCTTCCCAGGATATTTTACATGCGTGATTCAAATGCAGATATTTCTGAAATGGACAATAAAGGATGGAATTCTATTAACCTCACTGATTCGACGGCCATTATAAGGAATGGTGTATTGTTGGCTGGTCCGATTGATAAGAAATCGGTTGGTGCCCAGCAAGGTGGACTCATTCACATCATTTTCAACGACTATGGGTCTGAGGCAGCCAAGAACTTCATAGACAACATTCAGAGAATTGTAACTCACTTTCTTCTTCACATTTCTTCATTTTCGGTTGGTATCGGCGACTGTGTTGCAGACAACAGGACACTTACTCTCTGCAAATCTGCTGTTAAAAGAGCCATGAGTGAGGTAGACGAGATTATAGCATTAACTAAGAAGAATGAATTGGAAAAAATGCCTGGCATGACGCTTTCTGAAACATTTGAGTCTCGTGTCAATGTCATTTTGAATAAGGCTAGGAACATTTCAGGCACATCTGCCCAAAACTCTCTCAATTCATGCAACTACATGAAAGCCATGGTATTATCGGGATCGAAGGGCAGTTATATCAACATTTCCCAAATTATCACCTGCTTGGGTCAGCAGAATGTGGAGGGTAAGAGGATCCCTTTTGGATTTTTTGAACGCAGTCTTCCTCATTTTTATAAATATGACTTTAGCGCCAAGAGCCGGGGGTTTGTTCAAAATTCATACCTGTCGGGTATGGATCCTGATGAGTTTTTCTTCCATGCCATGGGTGGGCGTGAAGGTATTATTGATACGGCAATCAAGACTGCAGAGACTGGCTATATTCAGAGAAGATTAGTCAAGGCATTGGAAGATGCTATTGTCCATCATGACTTTTCCGTCCGGAATGGAAGGGGAGACATATATCAATTTTCGTACGGCGACGACGGTTTTGACGCCACTTATCTTGAAAACGTGGTTGTGCCAATTGATAATTTTAAGGAGAGATATTTCATCGACATGTTCGGAGACGACAGCCATGCCATCTTTCCACATCAGGTTTCTACGGATGTATATCAGCTACTGCGCGACGACATTGATCTTCAAAAGCTTCTTGACAAGGAATATGAATATCTCTATGCCAACAGAAATCTTCTCAAGGACTCATATCCTTCACCTGTGAACATTTCAAGAATATTGAGCAAGTACAAAAAGACAACCATAGAGAGCATTAGTCCATACACCATCCTCAATTCGTTTAACAGTATTATGACCGGCAACAAAAGACTGGACTACTACATCAGATTGTCATTAAATGTGAAGTTTGTCCTTCTCAATCTCTCGCCTGCTGACTTTAATGCTGTGCTCTCTGAGATCAAAACCAAGATTCTCAGGGCCAAGGTAAATGCCAATGAAATGGTTGGCACACTGGCAGCACAGTCTGTAGGAGAACCTGCTACTCAGATGACTCTTAACACGTTCCATCTAGCTGGAGTAGCCTCCACAGTTACAATGGGGGTACCTCGTCTCAACGAAATAATCAATCTTGCCAAGTCCATAAAAACACCTTCTATGCAAATTTTCCTTAACAAGCCGCTTGGCACTGACATTGAAAATGCAAGACGAGTCCAAAATCAAATCGAGTTTCTTTCTTTGAAAATGGTCTGCGAGATGTCTCAAATTTTATATGATCCCAAAATTAGGACCACCTCGATTGGAGATGATAGAGAATTTGTTGAGACCTACTTCGAAATGCCTGACGAAGATATTGACTTTGATCTTCTCAGTAAATTTGTAATAAGACTGGTAATTTCCAGATCATCTATGGTTACCAGGGGGCTAACACTCGAATTCATATCGTCAAAAATTAGGAAGTTGTACGGATCTGGAATTCATATTATTACGTCTGATGAAAATGATGAACGTTTGGTAATTCGCGCAAGGTTCTTTGCCAGCAGCGAAGAGACATTATCTTCCCTCAAAGAAGCACAGGCAGAGATACTTAAGATTCATCTCCAAGGGCATACACAGATAAAAAAAGCTTACCTGACCAACCTTAACAAGCTCGATAAATCTGAATGGTGCCTGCAAACTGATGGCATTGACTTTTTATCCGTTTTGAGTGCTCCTAATATTGATGGGACAAGAGTGATGGCCAATGATATCTACGTCATTTACTCTGTCCTTGGTGTTGAGGCTGCCAGACAATCCATTCTAAATGAGCTTAGTCTTGTTATTGAGGACAACGGCTCCTCATATGTTAACCACAGACATATGTCTCTTCTTGCTGATGTTATGACGGTCAAGGGATATCTCACAGGCATCACCCGCCACGGTGTTAGCAGACAAAGCGCCAGTGTTCTCAAGAGGGCATCCTTTGAGGAGACCGTTGATGTTTTGTTGGATGCTGCTGCAAATTCTGAGCTAGATGCAGTCAAGGGTGTCTCAGAAAATATTATGCTTGGTCAGCTTCCTCCTGTTGGTACTGGTAACGTTGACATAGTTCTTGACATAAAGAAGATTGAGCATATTATTCCCAGATATGTTTCTCCATCGAAGGAGGGCATGTCTGCTCCACTCTACAGCCCATCGAGTGACTCTGTTGTGTCATGGTCGTCGGGCAATTATAGTCCCATTGGTACTGGCGGGTTTAGTCCCATGAGTCCTCTCAGTGCAGGATTTTCTCCTGATTACTCTGGATATAATAGCATCCAGAGCCAGACATATAGTCCTACAAGCGCAGGCTACAATATCAGGAGCCCAGTTTATAATGCCACCTCACAGGTGTATAATCCTAGAACACCCAACTTTGCACCCGTGAGTCCAACATACAATCCCATGACCTCTATGTATGCGCCAACATCATTTGATACTAGTCTTTCAAGTGACCACCATAAACCCACATCACCCTCATATACTCCATTGAGCCCTTCCAATAGTCCTGCCTCTCCAAGATATTATGGCTCCTATGAGCCTGCATCATCCAGCTACAGTCCAGCAACTCCGGGATTCAAGCTCCACTCGCCGACATACAGCCCGTCCAGTCCCAGTTTTAATGAAAAGTGGAAAGATGATGGCAAGGGTAAAAAGTAAACAGCCGTGCTAATTAATTTTTATGTCTCGTGTGTTATTTTGTGTTACACCAGTCTATTTGGATGTGTTTTTGCTTCCTTGCATTGAATACCCCATCTTCTTTGTTTCAATAGAATGATGAGAGTAAGAACAACAGATGGCAAAATTCTAGAGTTAGATGAGCTATATGCCTTAAAAAGTTATCTACTCAGTAGCTTGGCAACAATCCAATCGGTAGAAGAGCCGATTGATATACTGGTCGACTCCAAGACCATGAGAATTATATACGATTTTATGATTCGAGACAATCATGCTCTAAAACGAGAATACAACTCGCTCGAAATACACTTTTCGAATGAGACTCTGTCATATTTTGATAGTAAATCAACTTCTGAGGTTATAAGCATATGCAACGGTGCCAACTACCTTGAGTATCCGTACTTGCTTGAGGTTTGTTGCAAAATATTGGCTATTAGATTGAGCCAAGGCTCAGCCAAAACCAAGAATGAAGTGCTGGGAGAGAGAAGAATAACTGAGGAGGATATGAGCTTAATAATCCAAGACTTCGACTGGGCAAATGAGAGCATTTGATAAACGTGTCGAAATTGGTTAAAATAAATTATGTATGTTAGAAATTCAACAGAGATGTTTATGCTGTAGAGTGGCCTTTGGAACACTGCATGAAACGTGTGGGGAATCAGGCTTCTATTAGCAGTTATATTTTACTTAGTAAACCAAAAGGTAGAAACATAATTTAAGTTTATTTAGTGTATTTAAACTGTCTGGTTGGCTCTCTTTAATATCCTAAGATTGTTGGATGTTCTTAGATGTAGGACAGTTGATCCAACCATCTGAAGACAAGCTGTAAACAAAAACAGTGCCAAGACAGATGGAAGCACTCCAAACCCGTCCATTCCAAAGTTTTTAATTGTTCTTTCGCCGGTCACCTTCAAAAAATCTGTATTTTCTGGATCTTCAATTCCCGATAGCTGATTGTGGACTAGTGCCCTGTATCCGTAATGAATAGGCGAAAGCCAAAAGAGCCATCTGAGGAACTGGGGATGTGACTGCGGATTGGAAAAGGCTCCGCTGTAAAGGAAAAATGCAACGGTAAACGTTACTCCAAGCGCATGGGCCGACTGCGTGGTAGATGCTAGTGTGCCGATCGTTAATCCCCAGGATATGGCATAGCAGAGTATAGAAAAGATAATAAAAAGAAACTCAAGCATAGTCTTCAGGTTCATTCGGAGCCCAATAAACATATATACAATAATATTGTATGGCATGCTGTAGAGAAGATTGAATAGAAGCTCGGTGAGGAACTTGGAAAAATACGCCTCAAATCCTGTGTACAATCCCGACATTCTTTCCCTGCTGATTATCTTCTTTTCTTCAATAAATAGATTCATAATGGGATTGCTTACTCCAAACAGCTCACTTTGACAGATAAACGTGAGGATCCCTCGGAAGGCGAAAATGTTCGCACCAATCACTCCAGTGTTGAAAAACGTACTGCCAAATATGAACGCAGTAAAAAGCTTTTGGAATATTTTGACTTTTAGATAGTTAAAATTCCGGTAGTAGTTCTGAATAGACCTGGCAAGGAGTATTGTATAGCGAGTCCCCGTAGAATACTCCTTGGGTGTCTTGATTTTCGTTAGAACTGCAGGTTCTTTAGGCTGTCTGATAAAGTTCCACTCCTTTATTATAATTTGAATCCTCTTCTGGGACTCCTCGTGTAGCTTTTCAGTCCGTGTATCCAGTGCCAGAACATCTAAGAAGAAGTCCGTTGGTGTGGCCTTTGGAGGTACCTCAAATCCACAGTCCTCAAAGAACTGTATGCAGCCAGAAACTGTACCTTCAAATACGCTTGTGCCCTGACACATAAGAATGATTGAATCAAAAAATTCAACCATTTTGTACGACGGCTGGTGGATTGTGATCAAAATGGCCTTGTTGAGATTGGCTATCCTTTTGAGGAGCATTAGAATGTTCAAAGCGTTGAAGGAGTCTAGGCCAGAAAGTGGCTCATCTAGCAAAATTACTAGCGGATCCCCAAGCAACTCAATCCCAATGCTTACTCTTACCTTCTCGCCGCCGCTCAAATTTATCAGGAAGGTATCTCTTGAGGACGTAAGTCCCAGTAGGTTGATTAGCTCTTCAACTTTTCCAGAAATATCAGAATGGTCTTTGCATTTGATTTTGGCCACAAAATAAAGCGTCTCATAAACTGTCTGCCACTCATAGCAATGCACCTGCTGCCTAACATAAGAAACGAGTCTGGGCCATGTTTTTGGATCTCTTTCTAGCCCATTTATTTTGATTTCGCCATTTAAGATCATTCCTGGCATGTTTCCTCCAGCTATGCTGCTGAGAAGCGATGTCTTTCCAGACCCACTTGGCCCCATAATTGCTGTTATTGTATTTGAACGTATGCCTCCTGATGTATTTGATATTATTCGCTTTCCTTCATCGTTCCTTAGTTCTAAGTTGTTCCAGATAACCTCACAGTGATCAGAATCTATTTTATGAAAGTCCATTTGGGGCAAATTTTTGTTGAATTGTTTTTAAATAAAAAAACGAAGTAAAAACACATAATGAATACTTAACTATTAATGTGCCAGTAGCACTTGAAAGTAAGAAGTAGGAGATTTATTTATATTAAATAGTTTCTGCATTGCCATTGTCTGAACAGAGTCTGTGCGACTCTCTAAGGTTGTTTCTAGTTCTATAATGAAGAACAATAGTTCCGATAATTTGGTACAAAAATGCATATCCTAGCACAACAAACACATTTGCTGTTATCGATAGGCTATTCAATCCAAACGAATCAAATGTTTGAGGACCCTCAATCGTAAATTGGCCAGTAGACTCAGATGCACTTTTCTTCGGACTATTGCTGTTTGATGAGAGGCTATTAATTTGATTGGAGCATAGCGCTGAGAACGCATAATAGACGGGCGATAGCCAGCACAGCCACCTGAGCCAGGACGGAATAAGCCGCGGATTGCCTACAGTTCCACTGTATATTAGATAGAACACGTTCAGCGAAACACCGACGATCTGGGATGCCTCTGTTGTTGAAGTTATAGCCCCGATGGTCAATCCAAACGATATGGCAAAAATATCCACGGACAGTAGAATCAATAAAAATATTACAAAGGTGCCAAAATTAGTAATTAGCCCTACAATGTAATACGTAGAAATGGCATAAGGAACGGTAAAAACCAGAGCATAGCTAAACTCTACTGCAAATTTGGCCCAGTAGGCCTCATATCCCGTATACAGCCCGGACTTCCTTTCCCTGTCAATGATTTTTTTTTCTTCATTAAACACATTCAAAATGGGAGAGCTGGTTCCAAACAATTCGTTTTGAATATAAAGGATAATGACTCCACGAAATGAAAATGCATTGGTGCCCTCCACCCCCAGTTGAAGAAAAGTTAATGAAAATATAAGACCTATAAAGACTCTCTGAAATATCCTACCAAAAATATACGAGGTATTTCTAATATAGCTGGTTATCCCTCTTATGTATAGCTTTTGGAATACAAATTTACTGGAGCGCTCTTCTGTCCATCTAATCGGCTGAACCATGCTTATCTTGGGCTCTACTTTTATTTCATTCCATCCCCTCCTGATCTTTCCTATTCTCTCCATTGATTCTCTCTTTGCAGCTTCGTTTTTCGTATCCATTGCTAGCACATCCAAAAAGAAGTCTGTGGGGTTGGTGTTTTCAGGTAGCTTAAATCCGCAGTTTTCAAAAAATTTTATACAATCCTGCATTGGTCCGTCAAAGATCGACGATCCCTCACACATGATGATTATTTTATCAAAGTACTGCGTCATTTTGTAAGATGGCTGGTGTATTGTTATCAGCACTGTTTTTCCGATGTCCGCTATCTTTCTTGCTGTTTCAAGTATGTTTAAGGCATTGAATGAGTCGAGACCTGAAACAGGCTCATCAAGCAGAAGCACAGGCGGATTTCCTAGCATTTCGATTCCCAAGCTCACTCGAATTCTCTCGCCCCCGCTCAGATTTTTTACTAATGTGTCTCTTGACTCTTCCAATCCTAGCAATGACATGAGCTCTTCTACTTTTAGTTGTGCCAGACCGCTATTTCTCAGTTTTATCGATGCTACAAATGTTAGAGTCTCGCAAACAGTTTGTTTTTCATATGCAGGGAAGAATTGCCCGACATACGACACTATCTTTGGCCAGGTTTCTATGTTTCTGTTGTATCCATTTATCTTTATTTCGCCCACCAGCTTCAGCTCCGATAATATTCTGCCTGAGATTGTGTCGAGAAGTGTTGTCTTTCCAGATCCACTTGGCCCAATTATTGCGGTGAGTGTTTTAGGTCCTATCTGTCCACTGGTATTTTTAAGGATAGGTTTTCCTTTCTTCGTATACAAACTTAGATTGTTCCAAGTGACTTCACACTCTAGTTCATTGATCATGCCTTCCAAGGATATAAAACAAAAAAATGTGATGTCACCATATTTATCCACAGCATGCACTGGCAGTATATTGAGACTTTGGGCATCAACTTTACAAATAAAGATATAGAGCTCGTCAAACTATAGTAGAATATGCCTGAATGCATAATTTCCAGTACAACAAATATACAAGCATAATCCGCTTTAAGCTGTACTGCTAGTTGGATGCAAGATTTGCTGATTCAGGTGCCTTCTCCAACCGTTATCTTCAGACCAAGCTATTAACTTAACTATACTTTAAGCATGCCATTAATGAGTAGTTATTAATGGCAAAACGTAGATGGTCTCGGCAATTTTTTAGATTAAGGAGGCCAGAAAGCTTTGACTGGTCGGTTTAAAACATACCCCTGTAATACCTCTAATAACAATAAAGTATACTCCTTTCATGGTAACGGAAGACTACATCAAGGTCAGCTATCTTATTGAGGTAATTTCAAAGTACATTGAACTAGTCAAAAAGATATTTGAAGACAAGGAAAATCTTCTTGAGAATCTTAAGGGAATGGAGGGTGTCTATGTGATACTGCTGACAGCTTATGGACTTTTCTTGGCAACAGCTGGTATCAAGTTTAAGAGAGTGTCTCTGAGTTCCCTATTTCTCTTTATAATTTATAGTATTTTGAAGAGCTATCGCGACTACGCAGATAAGGTTGCCAAGCCTATTAACGACTTTTTTACCAGTTGATGCGGTTAAGAACATCGACATTTTTGGAGACCAGGAGAGGATGATACTTGGATATCTGGTTATTTCATTGATTATACTATCCATCTTGTCTGCTCTGTTGTTCTGGGTCAGAATAGCTGGACTGGGCATACTGATATTTATTGTATATAGGCTTTATAAGACCTATATTAAAGGCGGCGAGAACATAGAGTCATCTCCTCTTGAATTTGTTATTGTGGCAGCCATCACAATTATATTTGTAATACTGTTCAGGTGGGTGGAGGAGCTTATTATAGATCTTATCATTTGTTTTTTGGGATCCTCGGTCATTCTTGGATTCTCCCACGGATATTTTGGATTTCCAGGGGACTATGATGCATTTTACAGTTCATTTTTTGAAAAGGGAAAGACCATGGAGACGGTGAGAAACATTAACTTTCTATACGTCACCATACTGACGGTTGCTTGTACATTTGCGCAAAGAAGTGTTTATATAAAATAAATGTGTGTAAAGTGGTATTTCATTAACCATATATCCAATAAAATGTTATGTGGCACTAAGCTTCAACTCAGGTTGACTGTTAAAATAAAGATTTTAATTGAAAGATGCTACTTCAGAAGCACTGACTGTGGAAACCTTAGGCTCATTACGTGCAATTGGCATGATAACTCCAATGTGCTGCTTGGCGCCAGCTTCCTTGGCCTCTTTGAACGATTTGTAGAGAGTTATCTTTCCAAGATACTCCTTCAGTCTCTCAACATTAGCATTGAATGCCTCCGCATTGTTGTTCTTTCTTCTCAAATCTACTGCAACACCAACTGTTCTGGCGTATCTGTAGTCCACCCCAGCTGCTGCACACTCTTCAGCAGTAAAGCCCCGTCCAAGTCTGATCTTTTTGTTATGTCTAATAGTAGGACATCTGACTATTGGTTGCAGTTTCTCTGTAGGCATGGGTGCACAGGCACGGGCCTTTGCCTTTCTGGATTCGCTTCTCCTCTGGTGCCTGGCCGGCTGCTTGAACCACGTTTTTATTCTCAAAGCAGTCTTCTTGAAGTGGTTTGAGTGTACTGCATTATTCCTCTTCATGAAGGGAGAAAAAAAAAATTTTTCAAGGCCCATGGCTCAGACTGTAACCACAAGAGGAACAAAGAAAACAGCAGTTGCTACCTGCAAGTGTGAAAACACAGGTAGGTTCGAGGTGAGAATCAACAAAATTCCACTGTCGATTCACCCTGATTCCCTCATGTGTGCAAAGTTTGAGGAAATTTTGAAAATTGTCCCAGAGGAGATCTACAGCAACTTGGATTTTGAAGTTACAACAAATATGAAAGAATGCGGTTCTGTAGGAAGAATATATGCAGCAAGACAAGCTTTCTGCAAGGCCATTGTTGCATTTCTGAGTCTGTATTCTGACGAGTACAAGAAACAGGAAGTAAAAAATGCCATACTTGCATTTGATAGATTTGCAATTGTGGCAGATTCAAGAAAGAGAGAGCCAAAGAAGTACGGCGGCCCAGGAGCGCGTGCAAGATACCAGAAGTCCTATCGTTAAATTACTTATTCCAGTTTATTGTCTGTTTTATCTCTATATGAAGTTTGTAAAAATTTTTAAGATAAGGAAACTGTGGCTATTGGGAATCCTACGTGGCAGCACTGTAGCGGGGTTCTATTGCCATGTTTTGATGCACATTTGACAATTAGAAGTGCCTTCATACTTTTCCCGAAAACCCTAACGGTGATCTACTAAATGCTAATATCAAAAGATGATTCACCATAAAAAAGAATTCGTGCCGTTTTAACGATATTAAAGATACTATTTGGCAATACCGAGCGCTTTATATGTATAACATTCCACCACGTTTTTGATATGTGTCACATTCTTTTAAATAATGCCATTGGCTTTCTTTTTTGTTCTCTTTTCTACACCCCAATGAACGAAATCCAATTGGACAGCGGACTCTTCAATTCAAGATGTACTAAGATTTCCAAACACATTGCTGCGCCCCTCCTCCTCCTGTTGGGGAAGAGTTCGGATGTACAGGAGTACAACATGAACTCTGCACTCTTCCACTTTCTTCTTGGATATGAATTCCCAGAAACAATAATCATAGTACAGGAAAACCCAATTATTGTAACCTCTCCAAAAAAGGCAGTGATCCTTCAGCAGATAGAAGGACTGAAAATAGTGATAAAGAACAAGGATGATAGCAACATCGAGAGCATTCTGGACATGTTCTCGGGGGTGTATGCGGTTATTGATAAAGATAATATAAAGGGTGATCTTGCCGGGAAAATTTTTTCAAGAGTGCGCACAAAGGATGTAACCTCTGATCTGCTCGAGATACTCTCTGTTAAGGAGCAGGGTGAGATTGATTATATTTTCAAGTCAGGAATTGCAGCTAATTACCTATTACAGAAGAGCATCGATTTGATCAGGGATGACGAGTTTTCTAGAGATGCTCTTGAGGCATACATGGATGACAGGATCAGGGGTATCGACAACTCTCTAATTGAGTTTGCGTTTGATCCTGAATTTTCCTCCAATCACCTACGATTGGGCATTAGATATCGTGGGTATTGTACAGAAATAGCAAGAAGGTTCATGGATGATCTTTCCGAGCAGTATGAGATTCAAAAATTTGTTCTTTCGCTTGTTAAGCCTGGTGTGTGTTCATCAGATGTTATGTCCCAGGTCGAAAGCTTTTTAAATTCTAAAGGATATACGTCCTACAGTGTGAGGCTTTATACTGTTGGGTTAATACAGTCTGAGCTGACTTTTGAATCCAGCTTTATAGTTAAAAACAAAATGTGCTTCTGTTTAAATATTGACAATTCTTTTTGCAATACATTTGTAGTCAACGATCTTCCGATATTTGTTACGAAGAAGGACTTTGCGGAAGATTATTCGGTTACAAAGATGAGATTTCGCAACAAAAGTAATGATGCACAGCTCATTGCCAGGATCAAGGAACATCAAAAAGAACTTCTGGAAAGTCTTGTGGAGGAAAAAGTTAATTTCTATAAGATACACGGTGCTGAACAGATCACTGAAAAAAATGGTGTGAAAGAAATATCCACCTACCAGAAAGATTCCTTAGTGCCTCGATCTGACAAGATCCATCTCGACTGGGATAATTTCTTCGTTCTCGTACCTATTCTAAGCTATTCGGTGCCCTTTCATATCTCGACTATCAAAAATGTGTCTATTGTAAATCCAAATGACGAGCCCCGACTGAGAATTAATTTTAAGGAAAGCAAAGAAATAAAAGAGGCATTTGACGTGAATAAGGAATGCGACACGAAGATAAAGTTTATTACTCTGAGATGTGGCAATGTCGAGGATATGATTTCGCAGATAAACGAAATGAGGAAGGAGTTCAACAAACCCAAGATTTCCCTGCCTACGCAGCCTGTGTTAAAGGAGAAGTTCAAGAAATATGCCTTGCCTGAGGTTTATATGAGGACAGACAATAAGAGTGCCAACAAAAAGATACTAGGAAACTTGGAACTTCACGAAAACGGATTCAAGTACAATGATGTGAGTATCCTATTTTCGAATATCAAAAATATTTTTCTTCAGATGGGCGATATTGAAAACCGCACAATCCTCCACTTCAACTTGAAAGAACCCATCTTGTTTGTAAAGCCGACATCTAACGTGCAGTTTTTCAAGAAGTTTACGGTGGCATGCCACGACACATCAAAGAGAGAAGGTGAGGATATGGAGCTAATGCGTGAGAAAGAGGAAGAAGAGGAATTAAGCAGGATCAACGCAGAGTTCGTTGCATTTGTGGAGCGCATTGAGCAGGAGACTAATCTCAAGGTCCAAATACCCGAAAGGGGGTTTTTGGGCGTTCATTCTAGAGAAGCGGTGCCGTTTTATCTTACGAATGAATGTATAGTGAGTATCCATGAACTGCCCTTCTTTATACTGAACCTCGATGAGGTGGAGGTGGTCAGCTTTGAAAGAATTACTTTCGTCACAAAGACCTTCGACTGTGTCTTTATATTCCACGACCGATCTCATCCACCGGTCATGGTCGGATCGATTGAAACCACAAAGCTAGGCTATCTCAAGGAGGTGTTAGATTCCCACAACATCTTATTCATGGAAAACAAGGTGAACATCAACTGGAACAACCTTATGCATACAATCATGGAGGATCCGTTAAGTTTTTATGAGAGCGGCGCTTGGGCCGAGCTTTTAAGGGAAACAGAAGAGTCCGAGTCCGAGGAATCTGGAAAGAGTTCATCTTCGGCTTATACTGATGACGACGAAGAAAACGATGACACCACTAGCTATGATGAAGATGAGGAAGTACCTGCTTCTTCTGTAGATTCAACAGAGGAGGAGGATGATTCCTACCTCGCAAGTGATTCTGAAGACTATGATGAATATAGCGATGAGGAGACTGAAAGCGAAAGTTCAGATGAAAAACCCAAAAAGCGTAAATCCAGAAAGTAAATTTTGGCATTAAACAAATAACAATTCATTTGTATAAAAAGCTGCGTTTCACTTATCTTAATTAAACGTCTACTATTCCATTCTGTTTAAGTTTTAATCTTGATGCTTTTATTAGCTTTGTCGTTGATTTAATTAAAGAAATATACTTTGTTACTTCTAGTCCCACATACTAGTTTTCCATCGTTGTAATCAAAATCATAAACTTCATCTTCACAGACAAGATCGCTCATTATCTTTTTCTTACTAATCTTAAACATTTTTATCGTCTTGTCTTTTGAACAAGAAATGATTAAATCGTTGTACACTTTGACTTTATACACGAAATTAACATGGAAATATCCGCAAAGATTTTCACCTGTTTCAACACTCCATAGCTTGACTGTTTTGTCAAAGGAGGCTGAGGCAAACGTCAATCCGTTGGGGCTGAAACATAAACTCAGTACTTCTCTCTTGTGCTGCATCCTTTTGAATAGTTGAAAATCTTTCCAAAGTATAATTTGACCGTTATCGTCCCCGGAAATAATAAACTTCCCATACGCATCAATGCAGTTTACCTGTGACGAATGTCCAACGAGATCACAAATATATTTCATGTTCTGGTAAACAACAATTCTGTTGTCCGACCCGCCCGTGATAACCAGGTTGTCATGCATGCAGAGAGACCTAATGGCCTTCGAGTGGTTCCATGTGCCAAGAATAGAGCCCTTGAAGTCCCAAACAACGCATGTCGAATCTCTGGAGCAGCTGACAATTCTATCTTTGTGAACTTTCAAGGCAGATATTCCATCCTTGTGCCTTGAAAGCGTTCTAATATGATTGCCCTGATGGTCATAGATATTGACCAGACCATCCATTCCACCAGAGACAACGTAATCTTCGTTGAAATCAACACCAACTACCCAGTGGCTGTGCTGCTGCACAATTTTAAACTGTCGTTCTTGTGAGCAAATCCCAAAATCTAACAGTCTTGTCTCCACCCGTAGTAACAACAATGCCATTTGCAAATCTAGTACAAAGAACAGGACCTTGATGGCCAGAATATGTGCTTGAGCAGTAAAATGCTGGCTTTGCCGAGGGAAAGTCTTGTGATAGCCTTATTTTCTTTATTTCCTCTACATTCTGAAGCTGAGAAGTTGTCAAGCAGTTCTCTAGACTGTTTGTGATGATGTTTCCGTTTATGAAAAGATCTTGTGCAGTGTTGATAAGAGATCTCAGCTGGTGGACATCAATTGAGTTTGGAACTTGCAGCACTTCACTTATTTTCTTTCCATCCTGGTCTTCAAACTGAATTAGAGAAAGACTCATTGAGTGTGGAAAAATTTTTCAAAAAATAAGATTACAAAACTGCCTATGGTAGTTTACTTTAGCGAGTAAAGCACACGCATACTATGATTGGATGCAATAGCATGAGTATAGCTACTAATATAGTGTGATCAATACTATACCATGTCCGATGGCCAATTAGTAACCGACCATCTGCGAACAACAAGTTGCCAAATATTGTTGCCGTTGCATTCTTGTTTAAATATTCGAATGCTTTGTTTATTTGCATGCTGCAATTATCTATTTAATTCTTAATATATCAATAAACAAAAATAATATCGCTTTGAATTTTATTTGAGAGAATCTCGAATAATATGGGCATGTAAACCCATATTTTGCTTCGATTTATGCATAAGATGATGAATAAAATATACCTGTCCATGGCAGTTTTGGCCAGAACGATTACCGGAAAGAGCTTGCAGGTTACGGGGGCAATATCTAACATTTCCAGGACCATTATATTCTTGGCTCAATACTACACACTGACTGTTGAAGAACCACACATTGGTAACTTCGTAGATATTCAGACGCATGTGCAAAATCCTAGCCTGGTTTTGAACATCTTTAACACCGTTAAATCCGACTTTGATGAGCATCAGTACCAAAACGGTGCTAACGAAGTTCAAGCTGCACTGTCTAGAAAGAATCGATGTGAAAAATATGCATCAGAATATGGAGATAGCATCAAAGTTCTATATCTGTCCGACACCAATACCCTTTTTGATGTTTATCTGAGAACTTTGGGGATAACCTACATCATTGATTGGACTAATTTAAATAAAATACCAAACAAAGCACAGGCATTAGAAGATATTAATAGTCATATAGTTGATGGTGTAAGGGTTGAGAATATTAGGAATTATTACGTGTTCAAGGTTAATATTGGTGGAATGGCATACGTTTTAAAACGAATAGATAGGTACAACAGAAATAGCAATGGTACTAATGATCTTGAAGCTACCAAGTTTGACTCGCCCCATATTGTAAAAATCTACTTTGCCTTTGAACGAACCCTTGAGGACTTACATCCAGCAAAGGTGATGTGGTACCTGAGTGAATATCTGGAAATAGATCTGGAAGATGAAAACATACGGTACGATAAGAATGGGCTAAGAAGAATAATACACGACGTACTTCTTGGGTTAGATTGCTTGCACAGGCAGGGCTATTGCCACAGGGACATCCATATTGGAAATGTCAGAGGAACAAGAGGTCCCACAGGCAAGGAGACATTCAAACTGATTGATTTCGGGTACTGCAAAAGACTTGAGGATTCCAGTGAAAGTTTGATAGGCATAGAAATCGTGACGGTAGGACATTTGCTTGGCTGCCTGAAAACACGTTTATTAACTAAAAGTGAAAATGGATACAGCCAACAGTATGCGAAGACCATTGGTCATGACATCAACTGTGCAGTGGCTGGAAGCGAGGATTTAGCAGATTTTCATTTTGCATGCTTAGGACTTGTGGAAAACCCGCCAACATCAATAGAACAGCTGCTAGGGCTTCCTTTTATCAAAGGAAGCCCTAGCGTAGAAAATGACCAGCTTGGCAAAAGATGATATGAATAGATCAGCTGGTGAATAAAGATTCTTGGAAATAGATGTTAAGCACAATATTTGCTACATTATTAATAATACATCTAAATATTAGTTTATTAAACATCAAACACCAGCTTGACATTCATTGAAAGTAGTTCGCAGCAGAGATACTTGAAAACATAAGGCATTGCAACTCTCATTAAACTTTTCGATCCGCAGCTGCAATAGTCTTTGCCTGTAAAGAGAATGGTCTTGCAATCTGAGCAATATGTGAATTCCGTGCGGTCTGAGCAGTTCATTAGTCTGTCCTGAAGTGCAAATGACACTCCATGGGCAATGAGGGCATCCTTTTCCATTTCTCCAAACCTGATGCCTCCTTTATTTTTACGGCCTCCAACCGGCTGATGCGTCGTTGCCACAACTGCACCTGATGTCCTAACCTGATACTTGTCATTCACCATGTGTCGAAGCCTTTGGTAGTAAACTGGTCCAATGAAGATATCCGTTCTAAACTCCGTGCCGGTAACACCAGAGTACATAGGCTCATTTCCATAGTAGTTAAAGCCGCACTTCTTAAGCTCTTCGCCTATGCTTTTTGGATCGCTTTCATCAAAAGCCACATTCTTAATAAATGGTGACGCATCCTGGATCTTACCTAATGCCATAGCACTCTTACCACAAATACTCTCTAATAGCATTCCAATAGTCATTCTAGAGGGAAAGGCGTGCGGATTGATGATAATATCAGGTCTAAGTCCATATTCAGTAAATGGCATGTCAATCTCCTGCCAAAACATAGAACATACGCCCTTTTGTCCATGTCTAGAGCAGAACTTGTCTCCAATAGTGGGATTTCTTTGTATTCTAAGAGTTATTGTAACACATGGCACATCTCTGCTAAAGATTCTGACAGCCTCAACAAATCCTGATTCAGCACCATGGTATTTAATAGTCCTAGTGCCCAGATCGGGATGGACATATCTTACCAGTACATCATCCGTCTCGATTCTGGCTCCTTTGAATGGAGTAAAGTCAATATGTGCATTCTTTTCAAGCTCGAACTTTTCGTTTTTGTAAATAAATGCGCCAAAAAGACCTCTTTCCGTCGAGCTCTTGTTTATGACAACGGCATCTTCCATATCATATGCAGTATAGCTAAGAACAGCAACAATGCAGTTGATTCCAATCGGAAATTCCTCAAATGTGCTATATGCACCAGTTCTAACCATAGGCGACTGTAGATAGCTAACGAAGAAATTCTTGCCATCCGTTCTGAACTGCTGGTTGAAACACGCAACACCCATTGCCTGCTTAGTCATCTGGCATTGGTACATATTTCTTGGGCTGGGATTATGGTCAGAGAATGGAATGCATGCAGCGATGGAGCTAAAAATATTTGTGTTGTCAATTTCTCTATATTCAAATTCGAAGGTATCTTCATTCTCTGCCTCACGGTCATATTTACTGTAGGCGTCTTTTGTTACGTACTTTGACAACTTGATATTCAAAAATACCTGTTCCTTCAGCCCAATCCACTCTTCTCTCTTAAGTCGGACATTGAAGACTTTTCTATACAGATTGCTGTAAGAATCAAAAATACACACCGATTCGTCAATGCCTTTCCCATATTCGTAGCATACTTCAAAGCAAAGACCACTCTTGGCCCGGTATTCTCTCAGGGATTTTGCAAGACCGGATGGATCATTAGTTGTCCCGCTTAACTTTCCATTGTAAAACACAGGTACTCCTGTGTTATATCCTCTATGGGGAGCCACCACACCAAAGTCGTACAGAATCATGTCATCAAAGACATATGACTTGTCAGAAACAAAGCAAGACTGAGACAGATGGAAAAGAAGACCACAAGGCGCACCATCTGGAGTATTTATTGGGCAGAAAAACCCCCAGCTTTCTGGCCTGAGCTTCCTAATCGATGTTATTTTCAAGTTTGAGAAGAAAGTCCCTCTTGAAACACTGGCAAAATGAGAAGTAAACCTCCAAATATTGATTCTCTCGGCAAGGACAGTAAAACTGCTATTCTGTAGCAAGTCTGAGCAGCATACTGTTGTAATATTTCCAGTAGATAGGAACCTCTTCATTTTCAAGCCAATGTCAAAGTCCAACGACTCAAAGTGTTTCTTAATTTTTTCTAGCTGCAAGTCTGAAAGTTCGCCAGTAAGCTCTGCAGCTTCGGAAACATTAAAAGAAGTGGTAGAGTCAGTAGTGGACACCCTGTTGCGCAGAAAATACATGATCTTTGTCATGAAGGATCGTTTTATCTCGTTGAGCTTTTCTCTAAAACAAATAGGTATGAGTTGTAACTCAGTATACAGCTCAAAATTAGAAGGAACATCAACGTCATCAGGTTGTATCTTACCGTCATAGCATCTAAATAACTTCTTTATAGCCTCTATAATGAGCAGATATTTGTCTTCAAACTTGCTCAAGTGAGGGAGAACAACTCTGTCTATAAAGTGTCTGCCGCACTCCTCATAGTTTTCAATCTTTAAGATTGGCTTAAACCTAGCACCAAGATAGTCCAGGCACTCCTTCTGGCTGTAGCAGGGATAATCCTTCATCCTCGCCAGCATCGCCAAGATCCTCTGATCCGAGCCCAAGGCAACAAAAATCTCCTCGTCTGTGCAGTTAGCCAATGCACGAAGTAACAAAGTAACTGGTATGAGGTATACTCTCTTGTTTACGTATATCTTGAAATGCATGTTTCCATCTGCACAATACTTTATTTCATTCTTCTGTCCTATTTGTTCCTCACTCACGCTCCTTATGGAAACGCTGTAATCTGTGTATGTGCTGTCTTTGCTCTTCTTTTGGTGTGCAAATATAAAATTCCTCTTTTGTGCAACATGGAACCTCACCATTCTATCATACCCATCTATAATAAAATACCCACCAGGCTCCTTAGGATCCTCTCCAAGCTCATAAAGATTCTGGCTGCCATTTAGATTGCACATACATGATCTCAGCATTACTGGAAATACTCCAGCATCTTTATATTCGTTAAAAATAACATTTCCTCTGTACTCTAGCTTTATTTTCAAAAAGACGCTCCCGCCATAAGTAAGATTCTGCTCTCTACAGTCCTTTGGAAGTAGCCTACGATCTACTGTTCTTGTGTCTTTGCTGTTTTTTCCTTTTTGAATCCTAAATGGCTTATGTATCTCAAGCCCATCAAAGGACAGTCTCAGACCAGAAATCTCAAAAGGTGGAGTGTTGACAACGGTGTTTAGCAAAATTTCTTTATCAAAAAGAGCATTGAACTGGTTTATGTGCATGTCTCCAGTTTCTTCGCTCTTCATTGTGGGATAAAAATTTTACAAAAATGAAGGGTAAAAAGACGGTTGCTTATAGCGCTTGGTATACTCCATTGAGTGCAGTACCTATATCCGTACTTTCTTGTTTCCCATTCATCAACTGACTGTCGATGCAACCAATCCCAATAAATGATTGCTTATTTTATTAAACATTCAAATCTTTTATTAATTAGGCAGTTTGCATAAACAATGAAAATTACTTTAAATGGCCAAAAGGGCAAAGGCAGAAAGAAGAGCATTTCTAACACTACGGTTGATGATTCAACAGCACTCCAACATAAGAAAGCCAAAGGCCAGATGGTTGTTCCCGACTATATGCACTATTATAACACTCCCCAGGGATTTTCGCTGAGAGTACCTCTCGAAAGAAATTCAAATACAAATCAGATTGTGCTTGGCCCATCTGGATTGTACAGTACACGTAAGCCATCGCTTTTGACGGAAAAAGTTCCCAGTAATGGCACAAAATATAGAGAAAGTGTGGATTCTGACATTGAATTTCTTCTAACATCGAGTTCGGAACGATCAAGAGTTGTTGAAATACCACGGAACCAGCACTTATACGGCCAAAAAGCAATATCAGGCCACTTGGACAATAATATATTAAAAAGCAATTTTGATGGCAATAATGCGCTGGAAAACAATTTGGACAACCAGAACATGAAAAACAACCGTGATAAATGTGAAGGTGGCAATGCAGAACTCAAAAACTCGTACTTCTCAAAAATCGATCAAATTTTTGATATCAAAAATGATCCAAAGGAAAGACTAAAGCATGAGGAAAATATCAACGTTTCTGAACTGTTAAAAACAAAGGAGGACGCACTGCGGGATATTCTATACAATATTCCACACTACTTCTATGCTTTGAAGAGTGATATTTGAATTTTAAGTGTAAGTATGAAAAGACAGCAGCAGATCTTATAGAGCAAAAAAAGGTTAACGAGACTCTTATTCAAAGAGTTAATCAACTGGTTGAGGACACCACAAGCAAAGGAGAAACCATATTCAAGCTGATGAGCGAAAACGAACTATTAAAGAATAGACAGGAAGTCTTAGACTCGTATAAGCTGGAAAAGGACAATTTCATAGAAATTATGAAGAAGGATTCGGACGGCAAAACACAAGAAATCAATGAGCTAATTAGTGAGAATGGAAAGCTAAAGTGTGCACATTCGAAACTGTTAACAGAAAGGGATCTTCTTGAAAGAGAACTGAAGGAATGTGGGAGAAATTTCATAAAGCTGGAAAATGAAAAGAATGTCTTGAAGACCGAAATAGAAAATTTAAGGATATTTACCGAGAATACCCTAAAAAGGTATTTAGACTCAAGTCTGTTCGGCGAAATCGAAAGAATATGCCTAGAAAATCGAAAACTGGTGTATTTCCAGCACTTTTTTGAGACCGTCAAGGCCGAAATGGCTATTTTCCGGCAGGATTTTAGGGTGTTTCAAAAGAATATTGAAAGTGGCAGGTCAAAGCTCTGCTTCAACATTGGCAATCAAGGTGAATATGTCAAAGGCCTTATTTCAAAATCGCGCCACCTTGAAAATATTAAGAAGGACCAGAAAGAGTCGTTCTCCAACATCTCCAGCAAACTCAGCAGCGTAAAACAAGCATTAGACACACTAGTTGAGTCAGCTGGTAAGTTAAAAGGCCTGTTTTCCGTGGAGAAATTAAAATTGGGATTTGTTAACATAATCAATGCGCAGAGAAGTGAGTTTGAAATTCAAAAGCAGACATATGAAAAGAGGATAAAAGAGCTTACTGAGAAGATTGAGGAAGAGGAGGATATTTGGGATGTATTTGAATGATATGAGACTAAATAAACACTGCTGTATCCTCAAACATAGCTGTCTGGCACTTAATGCTGTCACATTTGGTATGTTCGTTTATAGTTTGATATATTTTAAGATCAATGATCTTTCCATTGCGCTTGGTAGTTTTAATTTGAGAGTAGTTAATATTAAAGCTAGTTACTAAAATTATACATTTATTACAAACTATAAATTGCAAAATAAATGGCAACTGAAATTGGCATGGCTGTTTTGACTACACTCTTTCATTTTGCTTTCGACCGCAAGAGCTTTCGCCACCTCATTTGTTGGCTATAAAAACCAATATAAAGTGCTGCTGTTAATTCTGTTAAGTATATTTGCTTATTCTAAATCCTAGAATATTTGAACTTTTCTTCCTTTCATTTTTAAAAAATTTTGCAGTGGGGTCCTATGAAGAAAACTGTCAGCCTAAAGTTAACGCAGTGTTGGTTTGCAGTGGCAAGATGCCTTTTCAGTGATTCCAGTGCATTTGGAATAGGAGGTGCAGATCATGAGCTTTTGCTTTTGTCCCGCTCGCGCCATTTTCCATCCTCTGAGGAATTTGCCAATGATGTGATGAACCGTGGAAATAACGTGTATGGAAAAGAGCACTTTAATGATCTGTCTGATAATATCAAAAAAATTATTACTAGCGACTATCCGACTCCTGAGGATTCGGATAGCAGTTTGTATAAAGGAAGCAGTGTGCAGGAGACACTCGATGACCATTTGGAGGATCAACGTTTTGGTCTGGATGCCAATGGTCATATTCAGCTTGAAAAAAGCTCCATTGGAGCTGATAATCCTCATCCGAGCACACCCACTTTTAGTACTTCGTCGGCTGAAGCTTCCCCCTCATCTGATGCCCATGTTGAAAGCGAAAATAGTCAGCAGGTACCAAAGGGTTTTGAGCATGAAATATGCATGGATCCTACCGCACCCAGTGATTCTGCTGACTTGAACAATCAATCCAATGTGAGTGTGGTGAATGATATTCTTGAAGAAAAGACAAGCTCATATTCTGCTATTGAGAATGCATCAAGTATGCAGATATCTTCAAGTAAGCCTGCTGAAGTGTCCAATCCAGTCATCTCTGATTTAAATCCTAAAAGCAATAACTTAAGTCAAAATGGTGGAAAAAGTTTTGCTAACAATGCTATCGAAACTGCTATACTGGCTAATTCATCTTCAGCTCCCTCTTTATTACATGCATCTGAAGTCTGCCCAAATCCAAATAGTGCCGATGGCTTTAAACATCTAGTCAATTTGCAGTCTCATGTCGGCGGTGAATCATTGGCAATGGTGAGGGAGCCATCATCAGACATGACTGCTGGTGTGTTTTTAGATGTTCCAAATCTTTATGAGAATGCGCGGAACCTGGCTCAACAGACTCAGCAGCTTATTGCTGAATTGGTGAGCTATTTTGTTAATAGTGTTGTTAGTTATGTGGGCTACACGCATAGTTCAGTCAAAGCTGGCTTTAGCTACGTTCAATCCGTTGCTGATGAAAATGCTGTTCTAAAGGCCATTGGTTTCAATTTAGCCTTGCATTTCATTCGTCTCGTTATGGGCCTTATTGAAGAATGCATTACTTTCGTCTTTAAGTGCTTGTCTCTAGTACTCCAGACACTTAAGAATCTGATATCCAGTCTTATTTCATTGATATTGAACAATATCCTAGTTACTATGCTTATTTTAACTGGTTTTATAACTGTTGCCATAATTACTATTTCCATTACCATATTTTTAGGCTATAACACTAAGTTAGCAAACTGGTTCAGAAAGAGAGCTAACAAGATTGCTACAAATGATACCAGTAAAAGACGCATCATTGAAAATGCAAAGTCGAAACAATTTGTTGATAAACATGGCCTGCATAAGGCTGGCACTGCTTCGCAGTATGTTATTAATGTTGGAAAACAGTCCAATTCTAACAGTAGCAAATCCAATACCAAGTCTATACCTGAGCAACCAAGTTATGAGATACCTAAAGTATCTACCCAAGTAGACGAGGAGGACAGCAGTCACATTGCCCCTAAACAAGATCTTCAAAGCCAATTAACTGGTGAACATGTTGAAGTAGTCGATGCAAAAACTTACAGTGAATCAGCTATCAAGCCGACCGCAACAGACGGTGAAACCAACGATCAATCAGCAGTTAAGGAACCCATTTATGACCATGAGAACGACATGGAAGAATTTAATCCAAAGCTTGCAGTAATTCCTGGATTAGTTGAGGCTGGTATTTAGTTCTAAGATTAAATTTTGGTTTTTATTTTGCATCTGGCCTAAAAATGTATTTTATAGTTTAGCTTTGGCACTCAATAGACTGCTATTACTTTCACACGCTCATTAAGCAGTGTTTCTTATTGCCATTATCTATCTCATCAGCATCTATTGTTGTTATTCATTTTCGTCCCTGCCCATGTACATCTATGAAGACTTCAAAAGGATTCTAGACACAACCACTAATCTGATGAACAAAATAAAAACATGCTCAAAGGATGAGATAGAGGAAATTCAGATGAGAATCGACAGTAATATTCACGCATTAAGACTAATGGCCTCTAGAATTGAAGACTCTGAGACCAGAGCCACCTTTCTGAAGACCATCCAGTCTCTTTCCACAAATGTTGTGTTTGTAGAAAGCGAGGGCCCACAACGGCGTAGAAAGCAGAGAGAAAATGCAGGTGGCGATGAGTTGGTTGGCGATGAACTGTTAAAAAACTCAAGGAAGCTAAAAGAGATGGCCGATGAGTTTAAAAATAGTCTCCAAGCAGATAGAAAAATTATTGAAAAACTAGGCGGAAAAATGAATGCAAGCAGTCAGGAAAGCACTAAAAGTTTACAAGCGCTCGACAAGACAGGAAGAAAGATCAAATCAAGTACATTCATGTCATTTGCATTCATGATATTCGTTGTGGTGTATTTTATAATTAGATTTCTTTAATCAAAGAAAAATGCCAGGTGTTTCTCGGCTTTGTCGTGTGAATGGTGCTGAAAAGGCCTCGTTGCTATTTATAGCAGATGTATTGCCAATAATTTTTAAGTTAAGCGGACCTTATTTAAGCTGTATTTAATAAATTAAGTTTCGGTTTTCCAGTAAAGCTTCATTGCTCCTGTTCCAAGTGAAATGGGTATTCCAAGAATAATCGATTCGCTGACACCCCTAACGTACTCGTCAAGGCCACGAATAGCTGCATTGAACAGATAGTCTGCAGTCTGTTCAAAAGATGCAAGCATTAATGTTGACGTCCTCATCTTGCCTATTCCAAACCTAGTTATTCCCAGTATCTCTCCTTTGAATGCCATGGTGTCCGCAAGCAGCATCGTATGCCTATGGTCTACCTTTATTCCATACTTTCCCATCGTGTATTCAACTTCCTTCATAATCAGTGATCTCGCTGCTTCTATTCCCAGTGTCTTCTCCACCTCCAAAATATCGTTGCTAGTAGTACTAAGCGACTCCACTCCAGGCACATTTAAGACTTTCCCCAGACATCTTCCTTCAACTAGCAGCTCATATTCATCCACAGACTTATCTAAGCAGTTGACTATCACTCTATTAACACCCTCAATCCCACTGATTTTCGTATTTAGAAGCTGCTTTCTTGTTTTCTCAATCTGGAAATAGCTGTTCTCCTTGACTCTTTTGATGGAATATGTAATAGTGTCATTCTGCACCTCAACAGACGACCCCTTGATTGCTGCATTGAGAATAGCTCCTATTTGATCAATACCAATTTCTAGTCTTAATTTTTCCACCAAGTTCTGGTCGACAGAGAAGCTAAGAGATATTCTGTCGGGTGTGGTAGCATATGATATTTTATAAACTATGTCCTTAAATAAAAGTTTTTCAATACGTCCCTTGACAACCTTCGCACTTTCAAGTCCCTTGGTCATTAGTTTAGCCTTAATAATGGGTGTTGAAATATTGGCACTTGCATTTATTATTTCCTTCAATCTTGGCACTCCTAAAGTAACATTCATGCTTGCCACTCCTGTAAAGTGGAACGTTTTGAGGGTCATCTGTGTCCCCGGTTCGCCAATGCTCTGTCCAGCAATAGCCCCTACAGCAGTTCCTGGATCAACAATTTTATTCCACATTCTAGTTGCTAAAATTGAGAAGAACTCTTTGATAAAGTGCCTGTTTTGAAAATACCTGTAGAAAAACCCGAGGTAGAAAAATGATTCGCTTTTTTTCTTCCTTAGAAAGCCTACAAGACCCTCGATAAATTTAGGGTTTATAAGGCTACGGGACACTGGATTTTCAATAAGCTTATCCAGGAAATGAGAAGTAGATTCTGAAATGAAATAGACATCATCCCCAACGATGTTCTTTCGATAGTAAGATTCAATATATGAGGAAATGTCAAAGGACTCCCCCACAAATCCATAGCTGACAACATCGCTGAAGCAATGGCCATCGACCATGCTGCCAATATGTTGGTCTTCAGGAGAATTGGCTCTGCTGGACAGTCTATAACCTGTGGATAAATTACTGTTAGGAGTTGTTACGGTTCTAGGCTTGGAAAGCCCATTTAAAAAAGCGGAATCTTCATTGGCCGCAAAATCCTTAAAGCCTGTTTGATCGACATAAACAGGGATTCTTGCATGATGTTCATGATGGTTGTCTTGCCAACTGTTCCTAGCACCAGCATTGCGTTTGCTGCCAGCATAACCACTTGAGCTGGTTGCATCTGAGCATTTTGCGAACTTAGAATTGAAGTTAGACATGCTTTCGCTGTAAATCCATTCTAAAAACTCTTCTCCCTCGTCTTTCACTGTTTGGACATTATCTTCTCCGTAGTGGTACTGAATTAAATCTTCAGCAGAATTTCTAACAGTATAGTCATATTTTACACTCAAGTCTTCCAATGCTTTCATCAGTCTCCTCTGCATATAGCCTGTTTCTGCTGTCTTAACAGCTGTGTCCACCAGGCCTTCGCGCCCACTAACAGCATGGAAGAAAAACTCATAACTTGTCAGACCAGAAAAGAAGCTGTTTAGCACAAACCCCTTACTTTCAGATGATAGACTGTGTGCTGAAAAGTGCGGTAGTGTTCTATTAATCATGCCGTCTGGTATTCTCATGTCGGAGACTGTTTGCTGGCCAACGCAGGCAATCATTTGGCCAACATTAATTTTGGATCCCTTACTCCCACACTCTTGCATTACTATTATGCTATTGCTCTTTTTCAATTCTTTTAAGCAAATGCTACCACACTCTTCTCGAATCTGGTTGAGAACTAATACCTTGCCTTCTAGATCAATCGGGTTTTTAATAGCATTAATATACGAATCTACTTCTTTATACACCCTATCAATAACAGACTGCTTTTCTTTGATCAGTATTTCGCTTGGAAATACATCATCAAGGCCTATTGAAAATCCTTTTTCGGAAAGATATCGTGAAGCGAGGCTAGAAATAGAATTCATAGCTACCACTGCACATTCTTTAGATACTTTCAGTAGTTGGTATATCAAAGATCCTTTCCTGTTCTCGCCGCCAATTATCGACTTATCTAAACGGCCACAGATATATCGATTGTTTAGTATTTCGACATACCCGTCGTTAGGATCGTCCTCGTCCTTGAAGCTGCGATTTCTAGCTTTCAAATTTATATTCTTTCTTGGAATATCATTTATATTGCTTTGTGTCACACTAGGCTGTGATGGATAAATACTGGTAAAGCTCTTGGGAGCAAACGAAAGTGAAAACTCAATAAGAAATTCAAACACTTGCTTGCCAGTAAAAAGCTCTATTGGCAAGATGATTGCAGGATGAATAGCGATTCTTTGAAACTTCTTACCTGAAGCATATGAGCATAGCTGGGAAAATTCCTTACGGGTAAAAAAAGCATTTTTTGATGTCAGAAGATACACCCCGGTAAGAAAATCCTGAGTGCAACTAATAAGAGGCTCCCCGTTTCTAGCAGTACAAATATTCTGCTTTACCCCCATCAGCTCCTCGGCTTCTGCCCTTGCTTCAAATGTTTGAGGGAAATGAATATTCATTTCATCTCCATCAAAATCTGCATTGTATGGAGCACACACACACTCGTTAAACCTCAGAGTCCTGTGCTGGTGTATTCTGGCTTTATGTGCCATTATACTCATGCGGTGGAGAGACGGCTGTCTATTAAAAAGTAGAATGTCGCCGTCCAGAAGATGCCTCTCGACTACATCACCAACCTTCAACTCCTTATTCTTACCATACATCAAAAACCTTTTGAATTCTTTGCCCTTCTCATCTTTTGTGATTATAAAATTAGCACCAGGCCATTTATCCACTCCGTTATTAACTAGCTTTGTGAGAAAGGCTATGTTAAATGAAGTTACCTTTTCAGGTGCAGTAAGAATCTTAGCAATATGCATAGGCACTCCTACTTCTTCGACACTTAGATTTGCATCCGGAGATATCACAGTTCTTCCGCTAAAATCAACTCTCTTTCCACTTAGATTACATCTAAATCTTCCTGTCTTACCCTTTAATCTCTGAACAAATCCTCGAATCGGAGTGCTAACCATACTGACAGAGGGCAAATCGCTGTTTATTAGTAGATTTACTTGCAACTGGAGATAGTCCCAATCCTCATTGATTATTGGCAACGAGTTGCCCTTTCGTATACTGTCCTCAAGTAGCTTATTGGTGTTAATAATTTCACTCAGCTTAACAGTTAAATCGTCCTCGTTGAATCCTTCATCCTGCATGTCCACACTAGGTCTAATACAGCTAGGAGAAACAAGGATATTTTGAATAATCAGGTTACAAGGATCATCCTTTAAGTTCAGGAACGGATAGTCTTCCTCCTCTATCATTCCAAATATATTCAGACAAGTCTGAGGATTGATTTCAATAAGCGTAGATTCACCCTTGCTATTTTTAATTTCGTGATATATTCTAAATCCAGTGTTCTTCTTTATAGTTCCATTTGAGGATTTACACTTGTGGCATACCTTAATATTTCTACATTCATTTTTGACAGCATCAAAATTGATAGAATTGCTGCGACTGTCGTCAATGTTCTGAGAAGAGGACGAATAGCTTAGTTTTCTGCTAAAACCAATAAGTAAAGCACCGCATGTCTTGCAAATACAGTTCAGAATGGAGAGGGTTTGCTTTAAAAATCCAATGTGGTAGCATGGAAGGATGAGCTGAATCTGCCCAAAATGTCCAGCACAATTCTGGATATTCTCTTTGCAAGTACTGCATATTCCAGATTTTGTGGACACGCCCAATCTTAGATCCAAAGGCCCGCCAGAGTATGGCTTCCTGGATTCGATGTCGTAAAGAGTCTTGCTGTCGAGAGTGACCACACTTAGCTGGGATATCTGCTCTGGGGATAGGATGTGAAAAGACAGCTTGCCAATCTTGTGTTTGAATGACAGGTCATTTAGCTTTTCTGGCATATCTCCTTGGTCAAGGAGGGGGGATGTTCTTAAAGAAAAGCATTCTTTGAAACAACGATGCGGTTGGCTTGTAAAGCCAAACCAGCCCTATTTTATATTTACAGATGCGATAATACTACTTTAACTCGATCTCGGTAGCCCACCCCATCACACACCTTAAAATAAAAATATTTAAAAGAGTAAAAACTGTACTATTTATCAGAAAAGGATTTATTCCTCTTTCTTTTTCTTCCTATCAGCCGTAGAGGTTGGCGCAGGCATCGGCTCCTGCTTCTTGAATGAAAACAGCAAATTTCTCTCGAAAGGTCTTTCTACCTCCATTCCATAAAGATATGCTCTGTAGAGTGGAGAAAGAAACATGTTTTTGAGCAAGTTCAGAGTCTGCAGAAGCATCGGCTGGGTGTTCTTGAACTTAAAAGCCAAAGCGGTGTACAGAACTGTCTGGAAGGCAATAGACCTCAGCATCTTTGTTGCCTCGTTACTGTCGTACTCCGAATAGGTGATTTCTATCTCCTGATCTGGATTCTCCGATACGTTCAGCAAGGACGCCTCTGGCTTGTACTTAAATTTCTTTTGACTGTTTGTTTTGCCTATCTTTCTCTTAATGTAGTATGCAATGAGCAGCTGTATGACAGCAGAAACAAAGAATGCAATCCGAATGGCCTTGACGACAAGAGGATCGCTCATGAAAGGCTTCTTTATCATCTGAACAACGGCCAACGTGAAGATGATTCCTAGAAACTGTTCTGCAGCGGGAAGTGTGATTTCCATTGAGGGTAAAGAAAAACACATTAAAAAACTAAAATAGAAGAAACAAACTTAACAAAATGGCCAGAGCATTATTTGATTTATAGGATTTGCTTTGAGACAACAGCTAGCAACATTAAGGTAAACCAGAAGTAATATATGCTTTATGTGGTATGTTTGTTGCTCGTTTACATGTCAATGTTTATAAAATGTCCAGAAATCCCAAAAAGTCGTCCGTATGTTCTACTATTCTTTTTCTAATATACTCTTTAACTATTTCCCTGACATATTCAGCTACTTCTGTATTCTCTAGTGCGTCCATCATCTTCATAATGGTTCTTTGTCTTTCCTGAGATTCAGGATATGAGTCAAGAATGGTTGCAACACTAAGAACATAGAATGAGACACCCTTTTTAACACAGAACGGCTCCAGCTCCACCTGGCCAATAACACCGCCCTCCTCAAAAGCTTCTCTGGTGGCTGCATCGTATGATTTTTCACTCTTCTTGACACCTCCCTTTGGAAATATCCAGTTCTCATGTCTACTCTTTACAAACAGAATCTTCTGATCGTCAAGAATAGGTATTGCACCCACTATTGTTCGCTTATCTTCGTCATTTTCATTTGGCATTGTTTATTTACATCTCAGAAAACACCCAATTTATCGCTTTGGAATGCTATTTCAAAGAACATTAATTGCAAAGTACCAGGAAGCCTGTGCCTGCGTAAACAGCCGCAGGCCAACTAGCCTACGGAAATACAAATTTTGTCATTGCCCTCAAACTAATCCTAAGACTTGGTTATAGATAGCTGCTTTGCCGATATGCTTTGTATTACTACTTCATAATCAATAAACACCTATTTTCAATTAATACTGTCAGCACCAAACTTCATCCCCTGTATTTAACTTCTTGCTACGGAAGAATCTGGCTTTCGTATCTACTCATTCCTGTTCCATATTGCATAGCCTTTTTAGGCGTGCCAGCTGCCCTATCAAAGCCATGAAATCTTAGCAAGTTTCTCAGTATCGCCTTATTTTCTGGAAATCTCTCATCTATAAAACAACTGGTTGGCAACGAAAGGGAAAATTCAATAATTTTATAGTCAAGCAATGGAAACCTAGCCTCAACATTCCAGTGGCTGATAGCTCGATCGTCTCTTGCAATATTGTGGGCAGAGATTGTAAATAAATCAAACAACATATGGCTTCTAACTCTGCTATATTTCACAGTATTCCTGTCTCGTATGTCATTGATATATTTGTTGTATCCTCCAAAGATTTCATCAGCACCCGATCCCAAGTAAACAACTTTGCCATATGCTGAGGCACACATCGCCGTGAAATAAAGAACACTGGCAATATTAAAGTCCATCCATCCTTTTTTTGGATGCATCAAGTATTTCACTACTGCCCTGTGTTTTTTAATTTCATCCAATTTAAGATTATTTTCAACGAACACGAAGTTTCTGTTTGGAAATGTGGATTGTAGATCTTGGTATGATTTAATGCCTTGGATACAATCAAAAGACCCCTCAGTTGCTGTATTTATCAGATAAATTGTCTTCTCAGAATCCATTGTCAGATGTGTATAAATTGCTAAAATTAATGAATCAATGCCGCCACTAAAGAAAATGACAGGATTGCCATAGCACCTTCTGGTCTTAAACGAGCTTTCCAACAAACTGTGCAACACCGAAACATAACCTATTCTGCACAATCCAGGCCCTGGGCTTAAGGATATATCTGCTTGGTGCATCCCAGTTGTATTACTTGTGATGATATTTTCATATTCTGTCAAAAATGAATACTCTTTTTTGTATTTTTCTGAAAATAAGTACTCTTTAATTGAGCCCATTCTATTTAAATACTCCCTAACAATGCCAGTCTGCTCTTTCAATCTCCAATAAATTTTCTTTGTACTGCTATCATAAATATAAAACTTCATAGGATCAACCTCGATGTCATAGTTTACAGATGATAGGGTAAATGGGCTTAACCTGTAGCCTAGACTTCTTTTTCCAACATCGTCCTTAAAAAAACACGCAATCTTTCCATCTGTTATCACAAGTGCGAACTCGCTCTCTAGTAATACTTCGTGTCCTTTTAATCTTTTATACAACTCATTAACAAATGTAAAGGCGCCATTGATTCCATCTACATTTTCATTTGTATCTTTGTGACGGATATCCTTGACGGCTCTGGCAATAAAGAGTGTGTCGCTCTCCTCATCATTATAAATTTCTCCGTTATACAAAAAAGTAAATGAAAACTCGACGAATGGCTGAGGTACTGAGGATCTGATAGAAAGAACACTGGAAAATAAGTGAAAGTTGCCGCAGACAGCTTCTGATTGAAAGTCTTTTCCTCTGCAGGCAATATAGTATTTTATTTCCTCGTCTGATGGTACTTCAGAAAGATAGATTCCACACATTCAGGGAGAAATAAGTGGGCAGGTTAAACACAACAGTAAGCATTGTCCAGGCTATTACAATGGTCTACGACTGCTGAAGGAATGTGAATAGTGTTCAAAAATGTATCACAGATTCCAAGATTAACAAATTGTTTTTATCTTATTTAAAATAGATCTTAAGCTACCAGCAAGCTTTTTTTACACTTCACTAACAGAAACCGGTGTGTTGATGATAGGTTGACGGGTTGGTTGAAGTTTGCCATAAGCAAGCCTACATGGGTATTTAATCAGTATTTAAGATTTCTCGGCTACTTCGCATATCTAATGGTATATTATGCAGCAATGTCCATGTGTGCTTTGTTTATTTTGTATTATACCCCTTTGATGCAGAATTGCGAAATTTCGTGTCGAGAACTAGCCGAAAAAGCCATCAAGGTTAACTTCATCGATAGACTCGTTGGGCGTACTCTGAATGAAAAAATTGATAATTACTGCCATGTGGACTGTCTTAAATCTCTAAGAATCAGAAATATCAAAAGAAATGGAAGATGGGGATTTAAGCCAGTACTTGGAATGACAGAAGCCTTCTCGTCCATGTTTGCCTTTCTCTCCTTCCTCTTGATGGTTTCTGGATTCAAAAGAAAAATTAAACACAAGCTTGGTACCTGTCCCATGTCAAGACTGTACTATATGCAATACTACATAGCAAATGCAGCCTTTCTTTCCAGCTTCCTATTTCATATAAGAGAAACTCTCTTTACACGGTATGCGGACTACTTCACAGCATTTGCTAGCATACTTATGGGTCTTCTGGTCTCTCTAAACAGAATTGTGCTATTAAAAAAGCCTAAGGTTTTCAAAAAGTTTCAGGAAACCACTATAAGAATAAGCATAGCTTTTTTCATAATGCACGTGTACAAAATGGCATTCCATGAGTTTGACTATACGTATAATAAAGTTTCCTGTGGACTGCTGTTCTTTGCATCTTGTACCTGTAATTTTACCACGTTTCTGCACTACCGGGAATTTTCCCACTCTCGACAGATCGTATACTCAATAGGATGTTTGTTGACCGCTGGAGGAATAGAAATACTTGACATATCGCCATTGTTCTATCTTTTTGATTCCCATGCCCTGTGGCATCTTCTGATGGCGACAGCCACACCGTTTTACCTGGAATTTATATCCAAGGATATCGACTTTCAACCGAAAATGAAAGTCTAGCAATTAATAAACACACACTTTAGTTCCTAATGATTTTTTGTCATTTGATGTGTTTCATGCATGTGTTCTTGAATGTTCTGTAGCTGTCATCTTTATTTAAATATGCCACAGCTTTTGCATAAGCTGAAAACAGCCAAGCCCATGGATTCAACAAAAAATTACAGCAAATACAGCGGCAATAAAGAACCAAAAAAACAAGAATTTAAAAACAAAAGCGTCATGGTCACTGACCTAATGAAAAGAACCGATGCTCTTTCAATAGAGCTTCTAGAGTACTTTGAAAAGAACTTCGATGTAAAGCTCAGCATAGTAAAAGAGAAATACAGTAGACCCAATGAATAAATGTATTAAAACGCACGTATATACAAAGATGCTTAAAACAAAATTGTACCACATTGCAATAAAAACAAACAAGACTGTTTGCTTCTTAGTAAATGTGGCAAGGAGAATCATGAGAAAATACGCTCATAGAGGATAAGTACGTCAAAATAAAAGATTAAACAAGAATAGCACTTTGAACATAAAAGCCACTTTCGTGGTGCTGTATCACATGAGTAACGAAAAGCTTGAACATTCAAGCATTCTGACAAAATGTGACAGGGTAAAAAATTTTGAAAGAAAAGAGAGAAAAAGAAAGCAAATGGGAACTTTTGTTATGGCACATCGCACACATCTTTCTTTTATTTTAATACTTAAAAGTACTGTTCTGGGCAGAATCTTTTACTTCTGGCAGGCATACCCAATCGATAGCTGTAGTTCTGAAGGACAGTTTCACAAAAATGGAGATAAACGCTGTTGAAAGGTGGATCTGTGCTATCCCACAGGAAAATAAAGGAATATCCTGTCAGTGTCCTGAACGTAATTATTTTGGATTGCCCATACTCTACTGTTTTATTGTACGCTTGCGCGTTGCTGAGAGATTGGCCCTCACAAATGTGCTCTAAAATCTCAAGAAGAGTGTGTAGCGTGCTGCCAATGATTAGCATTTCATTTGGATCAGCGTCAGTAAGACTGGAGTAGATCAGCCCACCTGATTTGTTTGTAATTACCAAGTTTTTCTGTGCAAATGAGATGACCATCTGCAAATGGGGCCAGAAAACCTAAGCGAATATTCCCTAGACGAGGCAAGTCTAAGCTTTGTCTTAGCATTTCAATTAAAGATCTTTTGCAGAGGCATATTTAGTAGGTAATCTATTTAAGAATAATGGCTATTACACTTTTAACCAGCTACTTTTACTATTTATTCATTTAGTTTGCCCATCTTGATCTCAAATCCATTAAAAATTGTGCATTTGGTCTTGTCAATCTTGAATTTCTGGTCTCCTTGCAGCGCAATAGACTCTTTTCCGTTCTCTATCAAAATGTGGCCACTGCACCCAAACTTCTCCTTACAAAGACCGAGTATATCCTTCATTCTATCTTTTGGGACATTTTCAAGAACTGTTATTATGCTGTTTCTCTTGGCCTTCTTCACCGTAACAAAAATAATATTCTCGGAGAAGTTTACGTCCATGGGCAAATTTTGAAAGAAGCTATTTACTAGGCATTGGTATAGTTGGCTGCTGATGCTGGCATGTAAAATTAAATAGACACATAGCCATAGAGTCTTTGTCAAGCATTGTTGCTGCCGGTAGAACTAAACACAAGAGTATCAATTGCTCTATGTGCTGTCTACTTCCATAAACCTATCCTAAATTAATGATTTAATATTTGACTATAACGAGATACTCTCAATTAAAACTACAAATTAGAAACCCTCAATACAGTATTTGTGGTGAAGATAAATATAGTTTATTGCTGACCTACTTTCTCGAGTATCTCGCCAAGGATCTCTTTGGCTGAAGACGTAAGAACATCCTTCTTGTTGGAAAAGTCAAACCATCCGATCTTAATAAGCTGCTCGACTGCGCTCTGGTTGACAAACTCAGATCCCTTGGCATACTTTGTTGGTCTTACTCCTACATTCTTTCTGCAGGAATGCTTTCTGGAGAGACCCTTCAAACTTACTGTGCCTTTGCACATTGCTGTCCTAACAATTGAGGCCATTCGTGTATAGAACCAATGCTGATCATCCGGAGAGTACTGTTTTCCATGGGAGGTTTTGATAAGATCGCCGTTTTCTGGAAGAACAATTTCCGATTTGCTCTTTAGTATCTCTTTTATTGCCTCAATAAGAGGTGTGGCCTTTACTCTGTAGACGCTCTCCATGCTGGGTGAAAATTTTTGCGAAAAATTTTAAACAAAGCCAAATCTATGTCTGTTTTGTTGATTACTGTGGAGCATCGGCCAGATAACCACAAATAAATTTCAAAATCTGAATGCTGATAAATAAGACATACTAGCTTACACAACGTATTTCATTTGATGGCCACTATAAAAATTCCTTTTGTGGTAAAATTTTGCCTCCCCAAATGTCGAAAGGAACACCAAGCTTTGGCAAGAGAAGAACACGAAACCATCTACTTTGCCCAAGATGTGGCGACATGTCCTACCACAAGCAAATCAGAAGATGCTCCTCGTGTGCATTCCCCGAGGCCAAGAGACGAACTCGCCGCTCGCTGAAAGCCCAACGCAGGACTGGACAAGGAACAGGACGAATGAGATATCTGAAAAGAGTGCACAGGAAATCTAAAAGCGGATTTAAGGAGCATCCCATTCTTGCAGAGCTAAGGAACTAGGCCTAAATTAAAATATTCCAATGCAGTTTTAATTTACCATTGTATTTTTATTGTGGTGCACAATATAGCTGAAAAGACCATGCTCTGTGTTACAATGACTCGTGCATTGCTATATGGCTTAAGATGTTTCTATTTGATGTTTAATGATCCTTTTAATCGTAGATACTCAACAATAATAGAGGAACAATGGCCCTGAGGCTTGTCTGGGCAAGATAAAACAGTATGCAAATTGGAGCCAGCAAGCAATGTAGTATTTTAGATAACGTCCACTTAGTACTAATTACATAGTTTCGCAACCAATAGGCACCTTGAAACGTTCCTCAAAGATTGTTAGGTGCTCAGCATATACTTTCTCTGAATATGCTCATGGGCCATTGCCATTAAGACAGTTTTAGTTAAATGAAGAATACCTGAAATGGGAGATTAGGACTTTTCTTTAAGAGTGTAGTAAATAAGTGGCAGTCTTAGCTTGTTTGTTTTTATTGCCATCCAAAAAAGCATGGAAATAACAGTGTTCAATTAAAAGAAGCGTAAATATGATTTGTTTTATTAAAATATATTGCAAAATCTTTGTGAAGTTACGCAAACACAAAAATTCTATAGATGCATGTGTATTTAGGCTCTCCATGGTTGTTTTCATACTCTATTCTTATGCTGTTTGTAGTAATATCGTTGAGAATGAACTCTTCATATCCCTTCCCTCCAAAAGTAAAGTTGAATTCCTTTCCACCTGCCACAACGAGAAAATCTCTAAAGGCACTTGCAGGATTGGCTGTTTCTGGGTGATAAACGCCAATCTTCTTGACTGTGCTTGTCAACCTTAACTTTATTTCAAAGAATCCAGACTGCCCAACGAGCGGAAGACTACCTAGTCCGGGTTCAATAATTGAATTCGGATCTGAAACAGTGGTCTTGAAGAAACCATATCTGTATATTTCAGAATGGTCCGAAACGGCTGTCCCAAAAGAAATATCGGCGATGTTCTCCACCTTATGGATTGACTGCAAAACCAAGTTTTCTCTTTTCAACTTTTCTATTTCGTCAAGTAAAAACTGGTAATCTGAGGGCTTCATATTCAAAAATATAAAGAAGCCGAGAATAATCATGTAAGTCCAGTACCTTCTTGCATAGTAGCATAGATTGCTAAAGGACAAAAACACCATTTCATGCAGCTTCCATGGCTTTTCCTCAGCCTTAACGTCAAAATCATCAAAAGATCCAAAATCCAAAGAGTCTTCATTTTTTACTTCACTGGCTCTTGGCTCCATTGATATTTTTGGAGGAACAACTATTGACGAGTCTCTTGTGTAATCCATGCCTGACTTATCTCTCTGAAGAAACGTAGATGACTCTGAAGTCCTCACCCTAAGCTTTTGCCTTTTGTTCATGGGCAAGTGTAAATTTAAAAACAAAATAACAAATGTAGAAAAAGCTGCTCAATAATTTAAGAGCATTCTGTAGAACCCTGAGCAGATATCAAAAACAAATTGGCAGTATCTTGCTTGCCTGATAACATACGCACGAATGAAATTTAAAGCACAAGTTATGGTACATTACGGAAGCCTGTCATACTTCGATATCATTGTTGATATATTTTTATTTTAATTTATATGTGTCCAATCTAAGTTGAGATACTGCAGCCCTAATCTTCGCGATACTGGCTTCTCTTTGAAACTGTACTTCGCTGTATCGATTTCCCAAAAAGTTCAGGTCTTCCCTATACTTTGCACCAACAAAAACAAGGGGCGTTGAGTCTGCAATCTCCACGTTTTTCAAAGTAAAAGGATTACCTTTTCCGCAGCGTTGTACCACCCAAAATATCTTCCTGACCATATTGTGAAGAAATCCCCCTGCTTTGATATCAAGACTGTATAGATCATCGTCTAAGCTAAAGCTATTGCCACCAGCGTTATTCGTAAGTCCCATCTTTACTAGACTCGTTTGCATTGATACTTTATGTATTTTAATTTCACTGATCTTTCTTTTGTAAATAGCTTTAGGATTGGAGTGTGTACTTAAATGGTAAAAGTCATCCATTTGACAGATCTTCTCTACTGCTTCTTCCATCTTTTTCAAATCCAAGCTGCCTAGTGCAAAAAAATATTTGTAATGTCTTTGAATACAGTCATACCTAGCATTGAAATTATCAGGCACAGGTGCCCATCCCGTGATTCTTATGTCGTCTGGAAGCAGCATGTTCAATGCCACATCATAAGGATACTCTTCATGGTCGCTTTCTATGATCTGATATGACCGATTCGGATTCTCTAGTCTTGAGTTAACCTCAACGCTCACAACCATGTTTATGGCACTTACTCCTGCATCTGTTCTTCCGCAGAACACTATGCCATCTCCTATTCCGGATACTTTCAGCGCATTTTGCAGACAGTCGTGGACGGATTTTAAGTGCTTGTAGTGTTGAACCCCCTTGTAGTTTTCGCCGTGATAAGACAGCCTCAGTGCCACCTTTCTCTTTGAGATTGCCGGGTATTCTCCGCGTTTTTTATACGGTTTGTAAATTAGATCTATTAGCTGTTCTTTAGTCAGTGATCTCAGATAGTCGTAGTATGTGCTTTTCATCGGCTGTAAAATTTTTGAATGTAAAAAGCAAAATTAATGGCAGATTTGATAACATTTTGACATATGAAAATGCAGCGGTCTGGTTGTAGGCAATATTAATATAAAGCTTAGTGCTTGTTTTAATACGTTACATCCCACTAAGCCATTTGCATCAAGTTGTTTGCATTGCCATAAGCATTAAGCTATTTGTAATAAGTGATAAATTTATCATTAGGGGCATCCTGTAGTGGATGAATCACTGAGCACAATCTGAAACACGAATTTTGTGTTTTGTTTTACATGCGAATTAAAACTACTTCAGATAGAAACATTAATAAGAGATGAATCCTCTCTGCAAAGAAGATTGTGAACATCACAGCTCATGTCTACTAAACAGTGTTGAATCCGCTAAAAGCCACCAATCGCGCCAGTCCAGTCACTATTTCTGCTCTCACGATAGAGACATCAAAAAAATATCAATAGTGTTCGTTTTTATTTGCATATTTATGATTGTAGAGCTGTGGGGGCATCTGAAAACTGGAAGTCTAAGTCTTCTTGCCGACTCTCTTCATCTTCTGGTTGACATTTCAGGATTCATAGTTAGTATCATTACCCTAAGGCTCTCAAAGCGAATGCCCGACAATAAAATGATGTTTGGCTACGAAAGAACAGAGATCATCGGCGCGCTGTTCTCAGTATTCTTTATTTGGGCTGCTGTCATTTATTTAATAGCCGAGTCAATACACAAGTATCTGCATCCAAAAGAAATTGACGGGAAAACGTTCCTGACAATAGCAGTCGCAGGATTGATTGTGAATGTTCTTTGTATGCTTGTTCTACACCATAACCACTCCGATTCCCATGCCCAATGCAATCATATTAGAAAGAAGCAGAATTTGAACATGAGAGCAACCTATGTCCACGTAATAGGAGATATAATACAATCCATCGGTGTTTTGATAGCCTCTGTCATTATTTTTTTCTTTCCAAGTGCTGTAATAGCCGATGTTTTGTGCACCGTCTTTTTTGCTGGGCTCGTGTTGTTTTCCACATACTTTATTGTGAGGGATGCAATTAGAATATTGTCAGAGGGTGCACCTGAAAATCTTAATGTAGAAGAAATAAAGCAGAAGATACTGGCGATGGACAGAGTAATCAAAATTATGGACATAAAAGTTTGGAGTGTTTCTGTAAATAAAACAGCCATGTCAATTAAGATACTCATAGACCACGTCAGTATGAGGGAGTATGAAAGCATATTAGTCATTTTGAAAGAGTACCTTTCAAAGGAGAAGACGATTGATTTTGTTAACATCCAAATTGACACCCCTCTGACAAATCAGGAATCTTCCGGATTTGAAATTCAAGGACTGTCGATAAAGAACATTATGTGAAATTAATAAACTATAATACAAATAGTATTGTTAGACTGTTGTAAAGCGAGTTGGTAGTATTACTGTAGGATATTGTTTTTATTAGCTGTTTAAACGAAAAAGTAAGTGTTGGACTCTTTCTGTTCTCTATCTTTGGCACTCTCTGGCTTGTTAACTCTCGGCCTGTAATTTTCAGGGTCTCTTCTGAAGGTTACGTCAAGGCTCTTCAAGAACAGATTCATGCCTTCGGCCAGATCCATAGGTGCAGAAGCGCGGCTCTCAATCCCTGGCATTCCCTCAAATACAACTACCCGGTCGGCAAGATAGGTCCCAACAATCAAATCGTGTTCTACCACAAATGCTGTTTTCTTTTTATTGTAGATAAACTTTTTAATAATTTTAGCTACGCATATTCGTTGATCAGAGTCGAGGAATGCAGATGGTTCGTCAAATAAGTAAATGTCAGCTTCTTGGCCTAGACATAGTATTATTGCTATCCTCTGGAGCTCTCCCCCGCTGAGTGAGGTTATTTCCTGGTCTAATAGATAGTCAATTCCTAGCGGCCGAACTACCTCAGTTTGAAAGCCCTGGTCTGCAAAAGCGCTTCGTATCTTAGAATTGAAAACGTCTCTAACCATGCCTTTTTGTTTTGGAAGTATTTTCTGGGATTTTAAACTAACAGAAAACCCTATAAAAGCTTCCTTTTCATCGTTTTCTATCAGCCCAGCAATCAGATTGACAAAAGTGCTTTTTCCCATTCCATTCTCACCTAGGAACACAATAATCTGAGATTGTGAAAACTGCCCTACCGAAATACTTAGCTTAAAGCCTTCATAGGTCTTTGTGACTGCAGGATACTCAAACTGATTCCTTTGGTCACTTCTTGCCTCTTCTATCTCCTGAATATTAAACTTGAGTGCCTGTTCTCGAAATCTCATATTTTCAGTAGGAATAAACCCATCCAAAAATATGTTAATGGCTGCCTTAATGGTGTGCGGAGCCGTGATCACACCATATGCACCACTCATTCCATACAGCACACATCCATAATCGCTCATAAGATCCAGGATCGCAAGATCGTGTTCAACTACAAGCACATACTTGTTATCTTCAGCCATATTCCGTATTTCCTTGGCTGCAGATAATCTCTGCTTCACATCGAGAAATGAAGTAGGCTCGTCAAAGACATAGCAATCGGCATTTTTCATGCATGCAACATGCAATGCAAAACCTTTGAAGCTCCCCTCCACTAAGCTCGTCTAGTTTTCTATCCAGAACATTTCCCAAGCACATCTTTTCTATGTAATAGTCTATCCTTCCCCTGCCATCCATGGCCTTCAGAACCTCAATAACTGTCAAATCCTCCTTTTGAAATCTTTTCTTCAAAATTTTAGGCACTTTGTCTGTGTATTGAACTTTGTTAGATGTGACTATCTTATTCTCAAGGAGTTTGGTGAAGTACCCATGCAGCTCCGATCCACGATAGTTTTTAAGGATTTCGGCCCAGTCTGGCTCTTTCTCAAAATTCCCAAGATTCGGCTTGAGCTTTCCACTTAGGATCTCCAAAGCAGTACTTTTCCCAATGCCATTTGTACCAACCAAGCCCAAGACTTTGCCCAGCTTCGGAATTGGAAGTCTATGCAGTTTGAAAGAGTTGGGTCCGTATCTATGTGAGCAATCCTTTGTTAGTTCTGTTGGCAGATTTATTATTGTAATTGCTTTGAAGGGACACTTTTTAACACATGCGCCACATCCGATACAGAGCACCTCTGATATTCTAGACTTTTTCTCAATGGTAATGCACGCCTTTCCTATTCGGTTTACAGGACAGGCCTTTTTGCATTCTAAAGAGCACTCTGTTGGTCGGCAAAGGTCATCGTTAACAATGGCCAATCTTTTCAAGCTTGCCTTTTCGTCATTCTTCGCCATTGGGGAATGTAAAAGTTTGAATAATGAATTTCCAGGTGGAAAAGTAACCTGAACGACACAAAGTGTGCCAGCAAATACTAAGCAAATAAGTATTTATCATCGTGCTATGACGTAGGACATGCTTCTTTGTGTTCTGTATCTCTTTCTAGTTTAAACATTACTACACATGCATTGGCACTTTGGTCTCTGGCTCAGAGATATAATGCTAATTCATTGTTATTGAACACAAAAGTGCATTAATGGCACTTTAGTACTTCTATTATAGCAGCACAGCTTAAATGGTTGCTGTTTAAAGCCCAAGATTCAAGCGAAGATATATCTTGCCACGTACTTACTACAATATTGCTTAATATTTTAGTTAAAAACACTCCATTGACGCATAGTTTCAATTAATTTCTCAGTACTCTGGTGCATTAACAATGATATAAAAATTGAATATTAGAATGCCAAACAACAATACTGTGACTCTTCTGCCTGTTCATACGAGCATAAATACACTGGTTTTGCCCTCACATCAAAATGTCCAAATATTAAGCTTATTACAAAACACCCTCACATCATACCATCATATACACACATATTCGTTTGACTGATTGTCCATCTCCTTTTATTTGTTTACCTATTTTTAATCAATTTATTTTTAATAAAAATCAAAACAAATAGAAATTAATTGGCTATTTAATTTTTTTTCTTGCACTACCCCTATGAAATTTATATTTTCCTCGGCTCTTGCTTTACTCAATGTGCAGTCCGTTCTGTGCACTGCGCCTGCTAATCCAGCACCCGGTGATCTTACTGCATGCCCATTTGTAACACTTCTGCATCAAGGAATATCGCTACCTAGCAACCTTTCTAATCGCATTTTGGATAAACACACTATCACTGTCTCTCAGGATGCCACTAGTGCCACATCACCTCAGGCTAACTACAATCTCTTCCAGAGAGTTGGTCCAAATGGCAAGAAGTTTCTTTACATCCAACTGTTGCCTCCAGTTACTCCAGGCACATATCCCCAACCTGGAGATACTGTGCAAGTCTCGATCTCGGTAAATCCGAATTATACTATTAAGGCTCCTTTTATCCCGCTTGTTCACACTGTCCTCTCTTCAGTTAACGGCACTACTTTTGCTGCTACATCACCCACCCAGTTTGTGTACACTTTCCTCTGCCCAACTAACTACTTAAGTGCCGTGGTCACTATCGTTGAGCTTGGATATGTCAATTCTGCTTCATATACTTACACTGCTGCTACAAAGGCACTTTCTATCAGTCACTCAGCAGACATGATTAAGAACAATCCTTTCACTGCTAGTATTACTCCATTTACTGGCATTGTTCCCACATCTTACACACTTCCCACAAACAAGCAGTCTATACTTCATCGCCTACGCCGCCATTTCAAGAAGTCTGCAGTGTCCACTTGTGTACCTGAGAACCAGGTTAACAAGATGGCTGTGGCTGCATTTATCAACGAGATTGGATCCTGCTTCAGATGCAAAGAACCATGTGCCAAAACTATCTGCGATTCTAATATATATGTTGAATACATCACATTCATTACCTGCTGCATTAAGACTATTGCATACTGCGAACAGGTCAAGACACCTAAGATTGAGTTCTGTGCTGCAGGAGTTAGCACTTGTGCCGTTGTTAACAGTGAAATCTGCAGGTATTCTAGAAGCTGTACTGTCGATGTTGGAGTCAATGTCGAAATATGCTCTATGTTCTCTGATATGTATAGTGGCGAATGTTACGAGCCAGTCTGCGATTATGTCTGCCCAGTAATTGAGCCTGAAAGCAGCAGTGCTTGTGAAGAAAGTTCAAGTAGCTCGAGCGAAGAAACTATGAAGAAGAAAGTACCAGCAAAGAGAAGAGCAGCAGTCAAGGCTAAGACTACAACCACTGTTTCTACATACGGATGGTATGTTGCTGGAGGTATAGTAGCCGTTTCAGTAGCTGTTGTTGTCTACATATTTGTTTTGTAATGCCATTAAATCTGTAGATCAAATGCTAGTGCCCTATTTTAATATAATACGCTTAAGTTATTGTAAAATTTACCTTTGCTAGACGTCCAAATTATCTTTGCATTTTCCTAAGGATTATAAGATAGACCAATACTATTTGTAAAGATATTAAAATTAAACTCCAGTTTTCATTCAAGCATAATAGTATATATGCAGTATCGCAACAAAACAATGACTAAATAATGTTTTAGTGACTGGCCTCCGCTGGCTCAAATTGCCTTTTCTTCTCGTTTAATATTTCAACAAACTCTGGATCAAACTCCTTGGTCTCATCTGGCATGGCAATTGTGGTATATATTAAAGCCAAAACAGCTGCTCTCAACAAACTAAACACCATTCCAAATATAAAACCAAACAACACCGTCACGACTATCGAAACAATTATATTCTGTGTAGGATCTCCACTGAGACCAATATAACTCAGGAAGAAATAGTAGTTGAATAGCATTGACGAGCCAAAGAAAGAGAGCATCATTGTAAATATCACAAATCCTACTCCAGAAATGGATGCAACTTTCTCAAATCCAGAATTTGTCAGTATTTGGAAGGACTTGGCAACTGACTCTTCATAGCTAGTTCCATTAACACTTAGGTATGGAAAGGCAATAGCATTTGCAAATTTGATAATATCACCCAAAATATCAAGAAGAAGGCTTGCTATAGCTCCAGTAATTGCAAGGAGGAGATTTGGCCTTTCATTCCTATCTCTATTTCTACTACGAGCATCTTGAATCATGGCCTGCAAAGTGGTAACAATAGCAACGAGCAGTGCGCCATAGGAGATAGACCCAAGGGCATAGCAGCTATTTGTAAATGCAGCTCCAAAGACATCCCCACTTTTCTGTACCTCAGCAGCAATAATCGAGGAGATGAATACCTGGACAAAGTAGAGAGCGATAAAGAACTGCCAAGATGCCATGAGAATCTCAAGATATCTGAGATTCTGAATAATCGGCTCCGTTGAGTCAACAAGAAGAGCAGGGATGCTGAGCAGCACAAAGATAGAGGTTACAAACGTTATAACAAGAAGTATTCCTAGAATATTCATAAAGAAGATCAGCGAAGCAACGGAGATGACTTTGGCAATATAGTCAAGATGGGAGAGAATCACAATTGAAACTATTAAAATAAAGATGAGGTTAATTATAAGCAATACTGTTCCTACTACGGTTGAGTAGGAGGAATCCTTTGCACCAAAGAACCATGCTGCGATGGATGCAGCCGGAACAAGGAGAATGCTCAGAATTATGAGGAATTTTGGAACCGAATAGCACAACACTAGACTAAATGCAATGATTGATATTGTGAAGACCAAGTTTCCAAGCAGAAGCTGTCCAAGTTTGTAGTCGTTATAAAACTTAACAGTCACATCCACAAAGTTTGATGTGTTGAAGATGTAGATGGTGTTTAGGATGATTGTGAGCAGCATAAAGAGTATGAATGCCCAGGAGTCATGAAATTGTTTTTCTCGTTTTTTATTAGCGTTTTCCATTTGGGGCTAGAAAAAATCCTAGAATATGAAGAATTTTTGAAACGACTCAAAACAAGTAACAGTGCAAATGCGAAATAAAATAGAAACGATAAATGAGCTTAGTAAAGGCCATCCAACAAGCTATAAGGATGGCCTTGGCACAAGTTTGGGCTGTGAAATTGCCATGTCAAGGCCTTCTAGCATGGCTCCTTCATACTACTAACTTAGATATAAATAACATGGCATACTCCAACCACCCTTTATCCTGTGTTTCATGCATTTATTTACACATGAGTGGCTGATTGTTTTGTAAATATTTAATTTGTTTATTTTTAATTTTTGTGTCCTGCCCTGAAATGAAATTCTTGAAAAAGCTTGAATCAAGGTTTTTATTGGCACCAAAGCTGATTTACCTTGTCGTAAATTTGCAGTTTTATGGCTTCCACCAGCTGAGATTTGCTTTTGCCAAGGATAAGTTCGGTGTGTCTGAGGAAAATTATGGAAAATTCACTGGATACACCCAATTTCTAACCTTTTTTAGCAATATTCTGATTGGCAATTTTTCTGATCGAACCAAAAAGTATAAGCCCATCCTCATCTCCTTGATCATCATATCCACCGTAGTCTTTCTCCACTTCTACATTAATGCACTGATGAGCCTACATTCCCTTGTGTTTTGGGTGTTTATTCTTCTTTATCTTATGTTTAATAACCCTAAGGCTCCACTTTTAGACAAAATTATGATAGAGTATCTCGAATGCTTCTCTGAAGTTGGATCGAAGATATATGGAAAACAAAGACTGTGGGGAACGATCGCCCTGTCTCTTGCAACATATCTCTGCGAGTGGTGTACTGCAGATGGTGATGGCGCTTTTGACTTTGACTATCTGATCCACTATAACGTCATAATCACCATCCTGGCTGCGCTTTGTGTGACGCTCTTTGTTCGCACAGGCACAAATTCAGTCCAAGCAAATGGAAATGACAATAAGAACGTCGTATTAGAACAAGAAAATACTCATAACAAGCACAAGGAAACGCAAAATAGCTTCAGTAAATACGCTGCATTCATGGAGCTCTTCAGGAATAAGGAGTTCATGTTTTTCATTTTAATCATTTTCTCAAATGCCGTTACTCGTTCTGCTCTCACAATTTACCTGAGTATGTTTCACAAGGATATCCTTAAAATTAAACCGTACGATCTACCCGAACACTGGCCTGCGGGTATAAAATCATTAGTAAATGTTTTCAATAGTAAGCCTATTGGCACATTGACTACCTTCGGTATTGTTTTTGAGATGGCAGTGATGTTTGTAGCTGATAAGATTCTGGACAGGCTCGGATACTTTTGGCCTCTGATTCTTGCCCAGGTTGTATCGATGGTCAGATTTCTTGCATATTACCTGATATCATCGTCTAATGAGCATGTTTATGGTCTCAGCTGTCTTTTTGAGCTGTTGAGAGGAGTCTACTTTGGCATGATCCACATATCGTCGGTCCATATAGCCCCAAAGCTTGCTCCACCCCATCTTAAGGCCACCTCCCAAATGATGTACCAAGGAACCTTTGCTGCCATGGGCTCACTGGTCAGTGGATATCTGTTTGGAGATATGTTCAAGTCGAGGTTGACCAAAGATTCTGCCCCGGAGGAGAGAGAGAATGTCTATAAATTGATATTCCTCATCAACTTTGGAATCTCTCTTGCTACAGTTGCAATATGCTTTATAAAGTATGGCCTTATAGACAGAGTGCTATTCAGTCGCGAGAGGGAAAATAGAAAACTGAATTCATATGAACTGCAACAGGCAGTCGAAAATGAAGCTCAATAAACATGTTTCAAAGTTAGCTATGGCTTATATGCATAAAAATTATTTTAAATAGGATAATGCATAAAATTGGAATATTCTTATTACAAATAATTGGTAATTTGGTATTAAAGAGTGCTGTACTATTAACAACTAAAAGTATTTGTCTAGTGTATGTGTATAGAAAATACATATATTACGATATTACAGCTTAATTTCTGCATTATCAGTGTTCTTCTTTAATAGCTCACAACCCAGCCTCGGAATTGTTTGGCGATCGGAGCATTCGTTTAGTGTATCACTGTTAAAGCTGTTCTGATATACTCCTCACGTCTTCTATCAATTTGTAAATGCTAATTTCCAGCCGTCTTGAAATATAAAAAAGCAAAAGGTAGTGAATTTTTGATCATCAATTTTGTGTATGAATGAAGTTGGGATGAAAAATGAAAATACTACTAACATTACAAATGGTATTTACCTAGTGGAGGACCAGAAAATCGCAAACTTCTTCAGATATAAAGACATCACAGGAACAGGAAATGCAGGATTTAACTAGAGAGAATGAACAAATTAATTTAATTAATAAAATATATGCAACTGTCAATCGTATTTGCAGTTACAATCATATCAACTATTTTGACATCATTTATGAAAACACGTAAGATTGTATTTGCAAAAGATCAGAGCGGATGAAATAAACACTGCAAGTTCTACATTCAAAGATTTTTTTGCTGTATATGACACTGGAGCCCTCTTTGATATGTAAATTGGTGTGTTAGCTCATTCAATTTACCTTCTTTTAAGTGTATAGTAATTGAATGCTGTCAAATAAAATTTTTATCTGATTGATCTGATCTAAAAAATTTATCTGATCTAAAAATTTTTGACCTAGAAAAATGATCCCAGACTCAAAGAACAATATGACAACCACTTCAAGTCCAAATATCACTTATGATCAACCAATCAGAGACGAGTTAGGCGTAGATTTTTTGACTAATCACTCTAATTATAAAAGGGATGTAAAGCCCGAGGCATTGCCTCTTAAATCCATCATGACATATCTGGAAGAATTTTCTGATAAAAATCCTGATGAGATCTTTGGAAAAATCGTCGACGATAGCATTGGCACAGTAATCAAAGTGTGTAAGTACGTCCATTTTGCCCTAACAGCAATTGTCATTCTTCAAATAGCTGCCATAATTATTGGGCGATTTTTACTAAAGTCTGATAAATGCTTTGCACCAGTTGGCAGTCGGTTTTCCAGAAGTGCAACTTGGCTTTTTATCATATTAATGATTGCATCAAACTGCGTTATCATTATTTGCTTTTGGCAAAAAAACTATTCATTGAGTGAATATGCTCCCTTAATGTATTCTGGAGCAAGCTATGGTACGTTATGGTTTTTGGTCACGCTACTCACAGTGCTGGTATATGGAATAGGTGTCTGTGCCTATATGAACAAACGTTTTCTTCTGTTTATAATGTACTACATTATGTATGGTGCTGTTTATGGCTTCTTTTATTGGTTTATCAACAGCTGGCTTTGCGGGTTTATTCATTGGATTGTTGGTCCGAATATGGTTCTTTTTTTATTTGTTGAAGTTGTAATTCGAACGCTCTTTGTTAAAAGTGGATACACGTGCATGTGCAAGGCCCTTCGAAAATACCATAAACTTGTTAAGAAGTAAAATATACTAGAACATGTTTATTATTTACATTTTTAATTCACAGTAAATGAG